GACCACTCTGCCGAGACTAAATGATGCCAATTGTGCCCATCCTCCTGGTTCAGCCCAGGTCTAAAGAAAGCCCGCAGCAGTAAGAAGTGCTCCTGTGCTCAGCTGTGCCCTTCCAGGCAGAGCAGCAGCATTGCTGTGTGCCCATGAAATGCTGATCCTGGCTGGAGTCAACTGTGGCACCTGTGCTCTTCCCACCAAATTCCCATGGGAGTTACAGAAGGGTTGTGAAGGGGAAGGAAAGGAAGAGGCAGATCTGAGTGTCTGAACTGTGGTGGAGCCTGTGTAAGGGTGGTGTCAGGCGTTCTCACTGCTGCTACTGAACCCCTGTGGCTTTCTGTGTGCCACCAGAAGTAAGGCACAGCAAGGACGGTGTCCTCCAGAGGCAGCGCTTGGATTTCCCTGCAGCCTTTGGCTACTGTTGCATGTTCCTTAGCAAGCAGCCATTTCCAATTCTGTAGCATCCTTGTGTTACCCTTCTCTTCCTTTGAAGTGTTTTCCCTGCTGGAGGCAGGTCTGCTGCTCTGTTGGGATTTCTCATGCAGTGCCAGGTCTGCCAGTCTCATCCAAGGTTGCATTTGCATTTCTGCATCCCCCTCCCTTTCAAGTGGGATCATCTGGTTGCAGCTGGGAGCTGAGTCCTGCCAGCAGTGAGGTTTAAGGCTGATGTCTGGATCTGTACCCAAAGTTTGGGCATGCGGTGCCACATGCAGAGTGCCCCAAGCCTGCTGGGCAGCTTGGATCTCCCGCTGGGTGTGAACAGGGTTTCCAGGGCATGTGTTTGCTTGGATGAACTCCACAGTGGGAGTTAAGTTTGTACCCAACTGAACAAGGGTTGTGGTTCCTCTCCTTGTACCAGGTGCTTCTGTGGGTCAGGGAATCTTGCTTCCATGTCTGGATTAGCTCTGTCAAACATGCCCCCAAATACGTGCCTGGATGTGTTTCACACACCTATCCCATCCCATCCAAGCCATCCAGCTTGGTTTGGCCTCCTGAAGCACTCACCAACTTGTACTTCTGATGTGGGGCTGTTTTACCGGAAGGGTAGGGGCAGGCAGGGGGTTACTGGCACTGCCACTGTCCTGACATTGGAATCTCTGACCAGGCTCAGACCTGTGGTACCAGCCCTCTTTGGGCTGCAGATGCATGTGCCTCTGTCGGGCTTTGCCTGGAGCCAGCCACCATGTAAGTGATCCATGTTATTCCTTGCACTTAGCTGTAGCAGTCAATCAAACCATAGGCATTTGCTGCTATTACAAATGAATGCTTTTTGCCAGGGCTGTAAAATAGGCTAATAAATGACACTGGATATTATTTTCTTTGCCAACAGGTTTGTAAATACGAGTCAGTAAAGCGGCCTCTCCTCTGTTATAATAATAAATACAATCTCCATGGTTGTCTCTTGTCTGTGTGACTTTCTGAAGCATGGTCACGTCCACCCAGAGCTGCTGATTTCAGCCTGCTTGTCAGTGTTCATGAATAACGTTTGGGAATCAGCATGATGTAAGTGCTTGGAAACCAAGCTGCAGGCTGGTTTGCTCTTAATTCTCAGGCAGCTGGTAAGGGACACTCCATGGAACTTGGAAGAGAACAGGTCGAAACTGATAAAGGACAGTACTTGGAGATGGTGCACTTGAGACAAAGCAGCTTGCCCCAGACTTGCCAGTGATCGCAGAAGGGTGATGTGTCCCGACGGGGCCAGCACCCTTGTGATGCTGGGTGTTCCGGTTGGTGATGTTGAATTTCTGGCCTGTTTTGAGTCTAAAATTCACAGAGCCTGGCAGGAGCCTCTTGCTGTGTCTGTGATCGTGTCCTGGGAATCTGCAAGCAAAACTGGTAGAAGCAATTTTTCCAGTTACTGAATGCAGCTGGTAGACACCGTGCCCTCAGGCCTGCTGTCCATGCTCCACTTGCAGATGTTGGGTAGCTGTTGGGGAGTCAGACATGGATTTGTGGGACCTTTTTGTGGGTTCAGCTTGTGATGGAAGAAGTTAGTGCTCAGCTTTGGCAACTGCCTGGTGCTTTTCAGGACACGGTGACCATGAGGCCACCCATCTCAATAGAGAAGCTTGCACTCTCTCCTCCCCTTGTAGATGGGAGGTGTCTCCCTTCTCCTGGCCCACCAGATGCTTCATTTCTCCTCAAAAACAAAGGTGCCTGGAGCTTGTGCCACCTCCCCAAAAATCCAGAGAGTAGGAGGCCAGTTTTACTTTAATCTTCATGCAGGTTTTTAGCCTAATCCTAAAGCATTGAGCTTTGTGCTCAGTCAGCCCTGTGGGAAGACAGAGGAACAGGCAGGACTGCATCAGGAGCCCTGCAGCACCCGAGGGAGGCAGGGACGGGAGGGCCCCTGTCCTGACGCTGCCCCACAGCGGGTTTGATGTGGGCACAGCAAAGCACCGGGGGAATCGGCAGAACCGGCTGGTGGAGGTGGCACTGAGCTGGGGCTCTGCAGAGCAGCGCTCGGCTCCAGCACACCCACAGACTGTCTGCGGGACAGCCACCCTGATAAGATAGAGAAGGCTGATGTAGCTGCTGAGCGCTGCTGCTTTCGGAGCTCCTGTTGTCCTGCTGTGTTTGTCAGCCACGGTTAATGGTGGGGAGAGCTGGGTGTGGGTGCAGGCAGCTGGGAGCCCTCTCGGGCATGAAGAGGGGACGGGGGAAGCCCAGGCGTTCAGGGTGAGTTGGAGCATGAGTGGACCCTGCTGGAGTTGAGTACTTGGGATGAATCGAGTCGTTCATGAGCAGGACTTTTCCTTCCAAAGCAGGAGGCATCAGCTGAAGATTCTGCCCAGGCCATGAAGGTTTGAACCTGTGTTTCCCAGGGGAGATGCAGTCTCCACCATCAAAGCCATCCCACATTGCCTGAAGTGCTCGGTGTTTGCTGGTGCCGTAAAGGGAGATTGTGTGAGCACTGAGGGCAGTGCGACCTCAGCTGTCGGGGCTCGGTGCTGGTAGGATGCAGGACCCAAATGCATGAAGGTATTTAGAAGCCCAAGGCTGGTCTGACAAGCTCCTGCTTCTCCCAGAGGAGACCGAATGACTTCTACCAGCTCATCTCCACTCCATCCCATCTGTGCCAGGTCTGGAGCTTCATTCAGACCACAGGCAACGGGGAGACAGGGTGGGTCATGGGGGGATATGGAGAGTGCAGGAGGAGCTGGGGGATTGTTTCAGCCACAATGTACCAGCTTCCCTGATGTCACCTGGCCTTGGTACCTGCTGGTGCTGCAACTGCAAATAGTGCCCAAATACTGTGCTGGGGTGTCCTGTGATGAGTGCTATCCCTGCTCTTGGGGCCGGATAAGACAGCCAGACCCCATCCCCCCAAGGACAAGAGGGGCCTTTCAGAGTGGGTCCCTGCTGCCTGCAAGCAGCCTGAAAGAGAAGGAGGAGGTGAGGGGATCAGCTGGGGGTGCACTGGTGCAGTGTGCTACTTGTTTGCACATCTCCCCGACGCTGCTCCAAGGACATCCTTCCCTGGAGATCTGCAGGCAGCTCCCAGCCCCTCTGGAGGCTTTGGTCAACGAAGAAGAGGGGAGAAGCTGTCCTGAGGCAGGAGCTGTGTGGATGTGGAGCTGTGGTGTGATGAAGGTACGATGTCATGGTGAGTCCCTCATCTCCCACCCTTGTGTGCACCTTGGGACCAGGCCTGTGGGGACCTCCAGCAGGAGCAGGTAGGAGCAGGATGAGGCACGGTGGGGAGAGCTGGCAGAGACAACACCGTGGCGGGGCTGAGCCTGCAAGCCCCTGACCCATACCGGCCTTCACCCGAGCCCCACCAGGGCGGACGATGTGCACATCTCGCCGCCTCTCGGCAGCAGAGCAGCAGTGACCCCGCGTGGGCTGCGAGGGCTCCCGCACAGGTCCCTGTGCTAGGAGGTGAGCTCCACCGGCGCAGGGACACCCCTTCCCGCTGGCCGTGCCGGTCCCTTGGGTGGCTGGTCAGGCTGGAGCTGCTTCGCTTCCTCTTGTGGGCAGTGCCAGAGGTGCTTCCTGAGCAGAGCTCCTCCAGTGGACAAGTGCAAGCAAAAGGCCAGGGCGCTGCCCTTCACATGTGCCCGGTGTTCTGTGTTGAGGTACAGGGAGCTGGCCAACAAGCTCAGCTCTCCGGCAGCAAAGGCAATGCCGTTAGCACCGCTGCCTGTGTCCAAGGACAGCTCTGATAGCACAGCTGTAGAACTGGCCTTGAAGGGAGAGAACTGAGGATGCCTCATGGGGAGCTTCCTCTGCCCTGATCCCCCACCCTCACACCAGCCCGTGCGCCTTGACTGCAGCCCGCTGTGGGGCCATGCATGCTCATCGGGTCACTGTCAGCGGTCCTGCTCTGCTCCCGTGGCACAGTGCCCTGCCGGTCCCACTGCCAGCTCGGCTCCAGCTCGCCTGTCCAGCGCAGCATCCTGCCCCTGCCGCTCCCCAGCAGTGAGCCAGGTGAGTTCATGGCACTGCTCACACCGAGCTGGGGCTGGTCTGAGCCACTGGAACAGGCTGCCCAGGGCAGGGCTGGAGTCACCGCGACTGGAAGTGCTCACACACCGCGCAGACAAGGCGCTTAGTGACATGGGTTAGTGGTGGCCTCGGCAGCGCTGGCGAACGGCTGCACTTGATTATCTTAAAGGTCTTTCCCAACCCGGTTGGTTCTGCCATTCTGTGAACTTCAGCCTGCAAACATTTGTGCTCCCCTGTGTCCGTTTGGCTTTGGCGTTAACCTAGCATGAGACTGAAAGAAGAACCCCCAGGATTCGATTTGGATCCGCACGGTTCCGCTCGTCGGAACGAGCACCCGCGGCCGCTCTCCCCGGAGCCCCGCTGCGGCCCGGCGGGAGGGGCGCGGGGCCTCTCATGGCCGGCAGCCGGAGGCTGGGCGGGCCCTGCGGGCAGTGCCGCTGCGCGGGGTAACGGGCGGCTCCCGCCCCGCCGCGGCCCCCCCAGAGCCCGGCCCCACAGCGCGGGGCGAGCGCGCCCCTCGGGCCGCGAGAGGAGGCGGAACCCCGCGCCCCGCCCCTCCGCTGGCGGCGCCGCATCGGGGCGGCCATTTTGTGTCGCTGCGCGGTCGGTGGCGCTGGGCTCGGCGCGCAGCGGGGCCCGGGGCGGGTCGGCTCCGTTCTAACCCTTTTTCCCGTACAGATCCCTCGGTAAGAGCGCGGCGGCGCCCGGGCGGGCCGGGCCGCCTGCCCTGCCCAGCGCTGCGGGCCCGCGGAGTGGCGAGGCGAGGGGAGGGAGGCCGGGCGCGGCGCGGCTGGCACGCGTCCCCGCGCACAAAGGGCCGGGCCGGGCCGGGCGGCGCCTCCCGCGCTGCGGGCCTGGGGCGCCGAGCGGGGCCGCTTCCGCCTCGCCGCGGCCCGGCGCGCTGAGGCCGAGGGGTCCGGGCCGGCCCCCGTCCGCTCCTTTGCTCCCTTCCTCCTTCCCTCCGGCCGCGCCCCGAGCCCCGCGGGGCTGCGCGGGCAGGTGAGTATGTGCGGGCCGAGGGCCCGGCCGTCGGAGGCGGTCAAGTGACCTTGCGGCGGTGCCGGAGCCCGAGCGGGGGCTGTGGCGGCGGCCGGGAGCGGCGGGAGTTGCGGTCCCGTTGTCGGCGCCTCGGGCCTTGGGCGCGGAGCCGGCCCCGGGGGTATTCAGCCGGGCGCCGGCCGGTGCTCCTCGCCTGGCCCCGGGCGATGGAGCGGGAAGGAACCTCGCGTGGGGCAGGCACATCGCAGGGTGTCACCGCGCCGGTACCGCCGGTTGGAGGCTGCGGTGTCCCGGGAAGGCTGGAGAATGTCTCCATGCCGCCGCGTTTTGTCCCTTCAGGATGTCTTTGTGGAGCACAAATATCGGTGGATCCTTGCCCTGACCCAAGCGCTGCCTCATATTATACCTGTTAAAGCGTGTGGTTGGGAGGCACCATGTTTTCTCCTGGTAGGCCTAGGTTCAGCTATGGCTTATTGCAGTCGATGTGCATTATTGCATGGACGTGCGGACTGTGGTCATAGCAGGGCTTGGTTAGTCAAAGCAGACTCTCAGTTTTGGGAAATGATTGTGTCTGTTTTACTTACTGAAAATCCTCCTGGTATCGGAGGTGTTTCTATGATCCCAGGCTGTTGCTTCTACCTGAAATGCTTGAAAATAGATCAGAAAGGATATTTAAATGTTGATGAGTCCAGGCTGGATTAAATAAACATCTTTCTGTGTACAGAAACTGGTGGTTTATGCTGTAGGAGAATAAACCCAACTGTTAAAAACAGCGCTAATGGCTTAGAGTAACCTTTTGTTAGCTGTCTGTACAGAAGCTTGTAATTGAGCATCGCTAACAGAAATGCTTTGGACTTGGGTTCATTTATGCTTCTCTAATTGAGCAAGGATCCTTTCACAGGACCAGTTTCCAAAGAAAGCCACGTGAGAAGACTTGCAGCAAGAATCACTTGTGGTATAATTTAATCTTGGTGTAACTTTTTCCATAGTTCTGGAATTGAAGGTGATTCACTTGTTACTGACCTGAATCAGCCTGTGGAAGAGCTCAGTGTATTCTTGCCGATCAGTTTGCTGATGTCTCCTGAATGGAAGTAAAGTTTGACTTGAGCAGCCTGAGAGTAAAATCTGCTTGCTTTTGTAATCCAGAGTAATTCATTAAGGTCAAGCTTGGAATGAGGCTGGAATAGTAATTGCTCATAACAGTGCTGCCTTGACTGAAACGTAAGAAGCATGTAATTAATTCTTACCGTTAATTGGGTAAATTCTCTGAAGCACTTTCTTTTGCTCTTGTAATTCCTGGATAACCTATGCAGTGATATTGACCTAAATTCTCCCCCTCGGTCAGGGAAGGAGGGTGCGATCCCTGGTTTAATTGTCAGGGGTAATAAATTCTCTGTAACCACATATTTTATTTATGACTGCATCTCCAGGAGCTATGTACTGTGTGTTGCTGTGATTTATCACACCTTGACGGGAGCTGTTGCTGTAGGAAAGCTGTCCTGTCACTTGTCTCCTCATTTCTGCCCATATGGCGCTGCCCTGCGCAGATGTGAGCACTTGTGCAAGTATTGGGAGCTGAGCTAAAGAGTGTGCGTGAGGTAGGGGGGCGGATTTATTGTTCAGCCTCACAAGTGGTTGTCATGAGCGTGTTCTTGATGGTTGCCTAATTGTGTGGGTGCAGTGGTTTAGTTAAACAAAAAAAGTTGTGTATACTTTGTGCTTAATGGTGCATCATATTGACAAGTCTTATGCAGTGCTTTTGTAATAGTTCATTCAGGAGCTGAACAAGTCTACTTCTTTCTTTTTTGTTTCAATTTATCCCTTATCATCTTTGTACTTCTTTTCCTTGCTTTCCTGCAGGTTTATTTTGACTCGTGCTTCTTGTAGGAAGAGACTTGTTTCAGGTAAGAAATAGCTCTTGGTCTGGCCTTGCTGTCAAAATGCCAATAGCTGCATCACCTGTATGTTCCAAAAAACCTTTTGGAACTGGTGGCTCTTTATTTTGTGAATGCAAGATCATGCACATACGGGTGTATAATGTGTCCGTGCTGACTGACTGCAGATGTGCGTGGCAGAAAATAACGCATGTTGGAATATAAGTACTCTTTGAGGCTTGATGTTTGTTGCCATGCGTTTGTGTGGTTTTACTGGGCTTGAGCACTTTCAGCCAGCCTTGTTTCAGAATAGCCAGCTGCAGTCTGCCTGTTTTAAGGACTCCATTTCAGGTGGGTTTATGAAACTGGTTAAAAAGAGGTACAACTGTCTCCATCTGTGCCTTTAGCTCTTAGAACACAGCTACCTGCATTTTAACATCAGTTAGTGTGGTTTGTTTATTCAGTGTGAAGTCAGTACCAAAGGGCTTTCCTGATCTTGTTGCTGATGTTAAAATCCTAGTTTTAAAATGGACTTCTCTTTCTTCTACTTATACTCGGCACTTGCTTCCCAAGGAGATGGAGATCATCCTCTTGTTCCACAGGGTGATCATGTCAGGAAGCTGTCTTGAACACCTCTAGTGCTCCGGTTGTAGAACTGAGCATCCTTAGCAAGCAGCCTTGAAGTGCACCTATTTCTTCTTGTAATAAAACAAGGGAGTTTCATTCTTCCCAGTGTGGCACAGACACAAATGATTTGTCTGCTTAATGAGCTATCTTAAATGAAGACCAAATCAAAGCTCATGGCAGTGTAACTTGCAGGATTTCCCTTGATTTGACATTAAAATGTCTTCTTTATCAGCAAGTAAGGTAGACCTGACCCTGTCCAGTCAGGAGGGAAGTGAGTAATGAAACCGAGAATGCCACGTGTGTCAGAACACTATATATACTGACTGGCTGGCAGTGATGCCCTGTGGGGGGGTTCAGTGGCCGGTATTGCAGGTGATATAAATCATCTATGAAAAATATTTCTCAAACTTTCTTTTTATGGATTTTACAGGTAGATTTCTTCTATGAGTCAGAAGCCCAACTCCGGTTACTGCTGCAGGTACCGTTATCAGATTATTTTTGTGCTTTCCTATTGACTCCTTCTGGTTTTGGTCAGAATCTTTTCCTCTCGTAGCTAAAATACATGTTGATACCAGCTGATACGAAAAGCCTTAGGTTCAGCAGTCTGCTGTAAGTATATAGGGTGCTGCTGGAACAACCAGAGCAACCTCAAAGCCAGGGGCGGGACATTTGGTCAAAACTGAGGAGTAAATTGCTCAGTTTACTGACCAACATGTAGCCTGAAGTATTAAATACCCATCTGAAATGTGGATTTCTCTATAACACCAAGGTCTTACTTGCAGTAGGGGTGTAGGTGGCAGTACTTCAGACCTACTTAATACTGATGTTTGTACTGACTTTGAAACACTGGCATTGGGTGCAGAACAGTATTAGACTCAGTAATCTAAATGTTGTAGCCAAGCAGACAATGAGCAGGCAAATCAAATTCTTGGTCCCTACCCATTTCTTAAGGGTATGTTCTTTTAAGAAGAAACTGGTTCTTTGCAAAATACTGAGATTGATGTGTGAGGTTTTGAGCTCATGTGTGCTTCCTTTCCTCATCTGTCATGCGAGGCCACTCTCTGACAGTTAGCACCTGGACCAGGGTGTGCAGTAGGTTCAGCCTTAGACTGCTGCAACACCAGCTTAAGCCAAATGAATACAGTCTCACTGTAAGTAAGTGTGTCCAGGGAGACCTGCAGCGTCTTGTTTTTGTTGATTTTGCTTCTGAGCAAGTGTAGAATGGCAGAGAGAATCGGTCCACTCTTTTCCTGATTCCGTTTTGATTTGATAAAGGCATTCTAAGCCTCTGGCTACCTGTTTAGCAGGGCAAAAGTGCCTTCTGAGGACAGTTACACTTGGTGCATTCAGAGCCATGAAGTAGCTGTATACAGCTTCACTTCAGGTAGAAAACCAGGAGGAACTGCATTGGTGTGCCCAGTCTGTGGGCTGTGTTAGGCTTCTTGGAATAATACAAACGGCTGTAGCTTGTTTCTGCCACTTGTGCAGTCTGGAGAAGCCCTGCATGTCTTAACATGAATGTGGATGAAGAAACTGTTATTTCTCATATGACCAGAACGCAGATCCCTCTGCCACATGATGAATGTGGTTTATCCAACTGAGGATGTCCTCACTGACAGGAGAGGGCTGTGTTTGGTCATCTTGGCTCGTGTTTGCTCATGTGGCTAGACATGCATGGATTGATGAGGTGAACTCTCATGACCTGGAGATTGTGCTTCCACAAGGTACAATGCAGCTTGCTTGAGCTCTCTGCAGGTCTTTGTAGTTGTTGAACGGGTGAACTCTTAATTTCCTTGAGAGAGTTCTTACTGCCTGATACATGAATTTGCACCTTAAAATATCCTTCACACTAAATATATTCTTTCTTAACTAAGAAGATCTAAAACCAGAGATGCTTAGAGTTGCTAGAAGCTTTTTCAGCGAGATAAGTGTTTAATGTGATTCTCCCCCATTTGTTATGCTGCTTTTTTGTGGTGTTGGAATTATTTCTGAATGCAAGAAGGGTTTTTTTTAATGTGTCTCTGACTAGTGGAAAAGCTATTTCTACATATTCAGAAAGAATCAGTCTTACTGTGGTATGCCTTGAAAACCCAGGCTTGTGGAATCAGAGTATCCCTGTGATTTAATCTTGTTGAAGGCTTGTATCTCACCTCAGGTATAGGTTTGTTGTTTTGTGTTTTATAAATAACCTGTAAGTACTGGAGGATGACTTGTTAAACTTCATTAACCATCATGGTATTGCATCAGAAAGCCACTGGTATGAGCAGGAATTGTGTGTTACATCAGAAGTGAATCAGTGGTATGAATCCCAGCCTGCTGTAGTCGTTTGGCAAAAGCATTTTGATGTACTTCCAAATCTAGAACACTCTGGTGTTCTGACCCTTCCACTCGGATTTGGCAGTTTCAGTTTTGTTTGTAGGCTGCTTCTCATACTTGGTATTTCAGAATGGAGGCTTTCTCTTTTTTTAGCTGCTGTCCTCAGAGTTAAAGATTGTTTGGAAGATGGGAGTATAATTGCAGTGGTATTTGTCTGGGTTTCTCAGTAGTAGCTCTCATAAAACTGAAAGGAAAAGAAGGTGTTAGATTTGGGGCAGATTGATTGCATTTAGCTATCTTTGAAGGTTTCAGAAAATTTACTTGAAAGTGTTACCTGCCTTGTGGTGGTTAAATAGAGAAGTGGGGAGAGCAGGTAAGTATTTCTGCAATTGTAGCAGAGGAAGGGAAAGGAATTAAAAAGGCAAAAGAGATAAAGGGGTGGAGACGATGAGCTCATGATGGTCATCTGTGCTGCATCTTTAGCCTGGCATTTCAACTAGAATCACCAAATAAAACTGGCTGTTATTTCCTTGAAGTGCAGCATAAGGTGCACTTAACATGTCAGTGAGCTGTTCTTTAGGTATTTGCAGGCAGTACCTTGAATTTGGAGTTACTTGCATATATGAGGTAGTTACACTGCCCACTAGCTTAGTTAATGGGGTGATTCTGAAATACCTGCTGCATCAAAGTAGGAGTGATGGTAAAGGTACTACTGGCCTCTGTTTGGCGAAGCATAAGTGTTGGAGAAATTTGATGTGGGTGTGTGGATGCAGCGTCTTTAAGGATCTCTTGAAGTTTCTAATTTGGCTCACAGCAGCCTGCTGACCTTGGGTACTGAAATATCTTCAGATTAAATGGGTGTTCCAGAGGTGTTATTGTATGATTGGGGTATCGTTTGTGTACAGAAGATACTTCTTTGAACTCTACTTAAAGTTTTGGAATTCACATGACTTATGTTTTTCCTTCCCTATAGTCGTACAACAGTGTTTGGAATGCTTGCAGCCAGATAAGGACCGAGTTTCTTCTTGGTGAGTATAAGCATGGATCCTTGTTCTTGTTAATTACAGCTTTTCTTTAAGCTTTTTAAGTTTTACTTTAAAGTTCAGATTTTTCTTAATTCTTGTAGAGCCACTGTGGATAGCATTTCTCTAAATTAAATCCTTACATTCTTGAAACAAAGACTGCACATTTTCAGTTGGTGGAAAAAATGTCAGTTTTGTTCAAGTAGACTTTTTTGAATGTGCTTTTATTTAGGAAAAAACCTGCTTTATTTCCTGTGACTTAAACCCTTTTCCCAAATCTTTTGGTTCTTCAGTGCTCAGGAGTGTTTGTCTTTTAGTGTGACATGAAGAAAGAGGAGAAACCAGAACAGCTAAATGAGAGATGATCGCGTGATTGAAAAGAGTTCTTTTCAGCAATGAGTATTTCTTTAATTGCACTTGGTAATTCAAATAGGTTTTAATATAGAAAAATAGTTTTTCTGCTCAATTGCCCATGTTCATAATTTCGGCTGCCACGCTGGTCTGGGCCACTCTCGCCACCAGTTTGAACTGACAGCACAGTTATTGTTGGGAGGATAGAAATGACATTCTCACTGTCGTGTGATCTTAGGCAGGGTGTGAGGATCTTGCTTTGGGGAGGGTAACTTACATGTGCTGACCCCTTTTTACTTTGTCATAGAGTACTTTAGTCTTGCCTGAAGGAGGGAGTAAATGTAGATTTTTTTTTTTATTGGTGTTGGTTTTGTTAGTCTACTGTAAAGGAGAAATAGGAGTCGGAGATGAAATACTTCATACCTCTTGTGGTTTGAGGGAATGTTTTAGTGTTGAGGAATTATCTGTGCAGTGTTATTCTCAGGGAAATTTTCAGTATCAGTTCAGGATCCAATTTCACTGCTGTGTTGCTCAGTCAAAAGAATTTGCCTGTGTAGTTGTTGGTTGAATCTGGGAAACTTTCTAAGCAAGAGGTGAGTGCTGGTTAAGATCTAATTGAGGTTTGTACACGGTGCAGATAAGAACTGCATGTAGTCCGGTGTCTTGTTTGAAATGCCTTTTGCATAGAAGAAGGGAGGTGATGCAGTATTCCTTGGAATTTGTTGGTAGTGTCTTCACGGCCAGTTCAGATCTTTCCCATTTCTGCTCCTGTGGCATTAAAAACAAATCCAACTTGACTGAAAATCTGAGGCATTGTGTTGTGAAGTACCAGTGCTAAGGACATCTGAAACTTGGGGTTGTGTCCTAAAACTTATTCATCTTACTATGTAATAGTATGCATAAACAACACGTGAGGCAGGAGCATAGGGATCTTCAGGTGAACAGCTGGTACAGAACCTTTGAGTTAGCGCTTTAACAGGGTGAGGGTTTATTTCTGGCTTTATATGAGGCATACTTCATGGTTGCAGTGCTGCTGTAGGCAAAACCTGGTAGGCAGATTTTGACTCTCTGCAGGCAATAGAGGTCTGTTGGTTTTGGCACTGACTTGGGAAGCTGATCACAAGTTTTAAAAGTGGTCTTCAGATGTTTGTGAGACTTGCACTTAGTCTTCCTCAGGTGCCATTAGGACTGTACAATGTAAATGGTGTCTGTAAATGCTGTTTTGTAGTCTGATATAGCCATTACCTTTTCTTATCTGCAGGTGTGTGGCTTCAGCACAGCATGGCTGTGGTCATCCACTTGCAAGGTCTTCCGATTGTGGTGGGGACCACGGACTTCTCTGGATTGACCATCCCTGATGGGGGCGTGCATGTTGTAGGGGGTGCCCTGGGTGAGGCTTTCATTGTTTTACCACTGATGAAGATGTGAGGCTTGGTGTCATGCATGCACATTGTGAACGATCAGAACTAACTATTGCAGAACAATAAAACCTGATGCGCAAAGTGTGACTGGATTTAGTCGTTGGCCGTTTCAGAGTGGGCATATAGATGTGCTAGCAGTTGAAACGGTGTCTGCTGCTGGAGTGAACAGTAGAGTCAGTTTAGGTGGTGTGGAATTGACTGTAAACCTGTTACGGCATAGAAGCTGCTTGTACTGCTATATATGAAGGTAGCAAAACAAGCTTGTGCCTTGTTGCTTGTATAGAAGCTGCAAATAAAATCTTGGGGCTGCCTTCAGTGTCAAAGTGCAGTTAAACCTGTGCTGCGTTTCCAGTGAGCACAGGGCAGTCTCTTGCTGGTTGCTTCTGTACCCTGGTTTTGCCAGTGCTTGTTATTAACCCGCTGTCCTACCATGCAGTCCTACTGAATCACCAGTGATGTAGAATCCCTGAGAGGCATTGGACAGTGAGCTCACCATCCAGAATAAAACTGAATACTGCTTTACACTGAAAGCTTATATTTATGTCAAAGTTCACCATGCTTCTTTCTCAAGTCAAAAAGCTCTGTTTTTCATGGAGTTCCTCTTTGTTGTGCTCTGATGAGGGGGAATTGTGAGTTTTGCACAAATACACTGAAGAATGAAGTTGTTAAGAGTCTGAATTGTGGGAGTGTATTTGTCATTCTTCTGAGCTGCTTATGCAGTATTGAACTGAGACAGTATGAAGTTTGGAAGGAGGACCGAGTTTGAAGGCGAGGGTTTTGGTTTGATAGTTCATGCCCATAGGTGTTTAACCATACCTACAAGTGATTTGGAAAATGGTGTTTGCAAAGGTAGGTAATGTTTGAAGAAGGCTGCAATGGATCTGCTGTTTCCGGAGAGAAAACAGTAGAGGCTGTTATTAGTGAAAGTTTTCCATAACTGCTTGGTTTTTTGCTCTGTATGATAACGTGAAAGACTCCTCCAGTTTCCAGAGGAAGCCTCTCCTGTTGAGCACTAGTGATGTGCCAGACTTGGGGCTCAGCACTGACAGCTTAAAACAGGAGAGAATAAGAATGGCTGCAGGTATACAGAACCTGCATTGTTAGCAGAGCAGAAAGTGTGTTCTAGGATGAAAATAATGATCCCTAAAGGGATCAATACTAATGTAACTGTATTCCCATTTGCATTGCCCTCATAGAAATGTGCTTTCCTAATTGGTACCTTTTACGTATCTGAATAGTTGAATAATCTTTAAAAACTAAATTACCAGGTGACTTTTGGGATGGGAAGAAGAGGCTCTCCCGTTTAAATGACAGGTGTGCACTTCCAGTGATGTAGAAATATTTTCTGTTGGAAATAGTAACTTGTTTAAATCATGGACTGCCTGTACCTGAAACAGGTCTAATCCTCATAGTGGAATAAGAAGCTTTGGAGAAAAGCCATACAGCTTTGGGGATAGACCTGGTATCTATTCCTTGTTTTAATTGTGGTCTTGAGCACTTGAGAATAATGGATTCCCAGGGTTACCGAAGTGAAAAGCCTGCTCTGTCTCAGTTTGGTTACCGAGTTAGTACAAATTCATTTTCTGCTGAAGAAGATCTTAGAAGAGATGTTTGGGTGAAGTGTTCTTCTTTCCAAGTCGTAGTTATGACTGTGTCTTTAGTCTGGGGTTGGTTGTTAATAATGTATTTTGATGTACTTCAAGGTTTTTAAGTAGTCCTTGCAGGGGAGGACAGAGGCTGAAACTCTTGAAGCGGAGGCAAGTCCTTGTGTTAGTGCTGTCTTTCTAAGAAACAAAGTTCTCTGCATGGTCAGGGTGGTGCTGGTGAAATGCGGATGGGATTTAGTGGTGCCTCTTTGCCTTGTTTGTGAAGAGCTGTGTGATGGCTCCCTGTGAAGCTCATGTCATACATCATTTCAGTCTTCCTCTACAGCTGTGTGTTTTGGGTTAACTTGTTGAGGTACTTGATTGAGTAATTTCTCTTGTAATGTTCTACCGAGTGTGTATCTGCCTGAGGAAGCTGTTCCTGAATTCAGCTGCGAAACAAAAAGCCTGCTGTGCAGGGCTTGCTGGGTACTGCTGTCAGGGTGCCTCCGTGGCCAGACTTGGCAAGTGGCCTGGTGTAGGGTGTGTTGATGGAGTAGCTTTATCTTGTGAGAGGAGCTTTATGACTTTCCTAAAGATCTCTTCTTTTCTGAACCACATTTGAACTTGAGAGTAGTTCTTCATAAAATAATATCAGTCCTTTTGGAGATGCAGCTCAGTTGGTATCGTTGCTGCTTATGCATTGTGTAAACAAATTGCTGCTGCTTATTTCTGTTGCCAGTGCATGTCTCTGTTCTTCTAGTGTAAGACTAGAAAGGTTTTTAATTAAACTTGTGTCCATTTTATATGTCTTTAACTGAATCATCAAGACACAATCTTATTGTAAGGAGGACAGTACAGGATAAAGCAATTCATATTTTTGGACCTTGTGAGCTTGAAGACTACAGGAATGGGTTTTGTATCTTACAGCTGCGGGAAATGACTGACAAAAACTTGGGGAAAATAGCTCCTCATCAAGCTTTCCAGTACGTGTACCTTGAGAGAAACTGCTTTGGCAAGATTTCTTAAACCTTCTGTATCATCTGTTGAAAACATGTCTCAATGAAGAGTATTTTCTGGTTAAAATGGAGAAGGGGGAAGAAAGCAATGCAAACAACGCAGGCAGCGTAGACAGCCTTCTAAAACTGGTCAAACTACGTGTTTCTGGCATCTTTGAACTCTTATTGCATTTGTAGTGATGAGGCGACATAGTGTGCTGGAGTGTTTCACTATCATGGTAGCTGTGAAAGCTTCTTATTGTGTTTGGTTTTGCCCGCTTCCTGTTTACAGGATTCCTTGTTTTCATCCACACTGGGAGGGGGGAGAGGATATTATGAAACTTCCATCTCAGCTGGGAATAAACGTTGGGTTGCAGAGTTCTCAACTGACCTGGAACTTGGACCGATGGACAGAGGTTGAGCTTCAATGTTTCATGGTCCAGTAGCTCCCATTTGGAACGCGTTTTTGGCATGGTTCTGCACACTGTCACTTGGGAACGCTGGTTGGAGATAATCGTCCCCATTACTTCCTGCAAATCGCAAATACAGAGGTCCCGTAACATCTAGCTTTTGGGGGATTATGGTGCTTAAGCTTATTTTGTGTATGTCTTGATTAGTGATTGATATTTAATTGCATTTTTCAGGGGAATAAAATCAGCAGTGTTGATATTACAAAATGACAAAACATCCTCCGAATAGAAGAGGGATCAACTTTGAGGTGGGAGCCCAGTTGGAAGCCCGTGACAGATTAAAAAACTGGTATTTTTTTAAAACCATTCATATTATATTAACTCTAAGTCTTTAATATCTTAAACATTTTGTATTGGTACCATATTTAGAGTCCTGGTCATTGGTTTGTAGGAAAGTAGTTAATTGATAAACGTTTATATACCAGTGGTTGTAATGGGCGCTAGATGGTGATGTGTTGTGCTAGTCCTTAAAAAGAAGTGTACTGGTGCTGTGTCTGTTTGGGAAACAGGGCTACTCATAAATCCAGTGGGACTTGACTTTGGTACTTGTGAATTCACCCCAAGTTCTGTGCTATACGCAGATTGCAGAGCAGACGTTACGGAGAGAGAAATCCTTTGCAGTACAGAACACCCAGGGTAGTTCCTCGCTGCTTCCTTCACTATTGCTGGTGTGAACTTAGAGGCTTTGAAGTTGGCTTGAAATTGTTATGGCCCTTGCTCATTTGAGGGTTGTTAGAGTTAGAATAAAGAATTGGGTAGGGAAACATACTCCACACTGAGACGTCTTCTCTGGAGCCTGTCTTGCAGACTCCAGTTGTGAGGAAGAGTAGGAAGGGGAAAAGGGCCTAAAAGCTACTTGAGCTAGCTTTGAGCCTTCTAAATGATTGTTGTAGGAAGTTAGCTCAAAAGCTAGCATTGAATAATGCACAGGGAATGAAGCATACAGTGAAAATTGCTGGATTCAAAGGCTTCTTAAATACAGGAATTTGTTTTTAAAGAGCCTACATGGGTTGGACTTGATTGTACTTCAGGCTCTGGAACCTGCTGGTGGGTTAAGTGTACAGAAATCTGTGTTGAAAACCATGTGGACATTCCATAAGGATGGAGCACTGCCTTAGACATAGTGTGCTTGTTCCAAAGCATCTTAATTGCATGCAGAGTATTTATCCCCTTTCCAGGTACAAGGGGATTGGAATTGTGAAAATAAGTAAGCAGCTCTTTTGGAAAGAATGTGAAGTACAGCATTAACTCATGCTTGCATGTTATGTTGGCCTTCCTGCATAACCAGCCTTAGGTAGGGCTTCAGTCTGAATCTGCATGTATCTTTGTATTCTTGAGCTTTGTTTGTACAGCAAAAGAAATTGTCATGCCTACAAAAATGAGTTTTCTTGGCCTGTCTGTGCTGCAGGCTTATTAAGATGCAGTTCAGTATAGATTGTGTTTGAGTAAGCCTAATAACTTGTGTCCGTGACGATCATCCTTCTGACATGTTTAGGTAACAACAGTATCTCAAAGTATGGGCATACAGCTCTTAGATGGGAAAACTTTGGTAGATTCAGCACCTGCTGTACTTTCTGTGTATTCCTTGGCTTAAACTTGAATGTTGGATATGCTGCATGTCCAAAACTAAGCTGTGTTGTTTGCTTTTTGAAAACACTTGAACTTAAATTACCTGTCTTACGCTCAGTGAATTGTAACTCCTTGATCTCGCATTTTAGTTATTAACTCTCCCATTCTGAAAGCTTTCTTTTGCATGCCAAGCTTTTGAAACCTGGTTCAGAAAGTCTGTGTTTGCTTGGCTGGTTATCTGTGTGTGTGCTTTCAGGGTTTGTGAACCAAAATTGTTAAGAGCTGGGGATCTGTTTTCTCTTAGCAATATCAGTGTTGATGGGCTGACACCTCCCCAGGTGTGGATTTGTAGAGGACAGGCTACTTACTCATTTCCCCTGCTGCTTTCACCTGCCATTCTATGAGCAGGACCACTCTGGCACCAGTGTGCTCCTTTTACATGGATGCAAAACTTTGTTTGCTGGAACTTGCTTTTTCTGGTGCTAGACCTTCAGAGGTCCAGGCTTTTCTGGTGTGTACTTGTTGTGGTGTTGGCTCTTAAACATGGGCAGAAGTTTCTTGTTTGCTCGATGGGCTGGCTTTAATTCCTGTGCTCAGTACTGCTTCTCTTCTCAGAGGGCAGTAGTGCTTTGGGAAGTATTTCATCTGAAAGCCCTGTTTACCTGCCTTTCCTAGCAGTGGCTTGCACCCTGAAATGACAGTTCAGGACTTTCAGGGTGTTTGATTGTGAGGCCAACCCTGTTGAAGAGGAAGAAGAAATGTGTATGCCAGCAGAGTAGCCAGTGCAGTCTTCTCCTTCCCAAAGGGCTAAGTGAATTTTATGTCATTAGAGCTCTTACTGATTTGTGTTTACTCTGGAATCATAACGTTCTGGAAGTGCGCTTCAGTTCCTGGTGCAGTTGTTTGTCACCTCTTAGACTCGAACTCCAGTGAGTACACTGAGTACTTTTGGTACTTGGCTTATTTCTCAGGACTTGGTTGATGCAGCAAAGCTGTCTTGAAAGCCTTGTGATGGTGTCTGTTGACCTTGGGGCGCTGAAGATCTCTGGCCATCAGGCAGTGCCTCTGTGCATGCTGAAAGGTCTGTTTGGTACATAGTGGTGGAGTTCAGAGGATGGAGCTGTGGGACTGCACTTGTGGTGCAGTCCTAAACGGAGAGATCCCAGAGATCTAGCTGTGATGATGTACGTGCACATGCTGTCCTGCTTGAATTGAGTTGGGTTTTGCATTGGATCATTTGAACTCCTCAGTGCTGACTAACTGCAGGCATCCTCTCTTACTGAAAAGAGCATGGCTGCACTGGATGCCTGCAGTAGATGATGGCACTTGTTGTGTTACTTGTTGTAATAACACCTCTTCAAGTTCACTCTGTGTGACTAAAATGGATTTTAAGAGACTTCTGGTTGAGGCTCTTGGATATTGAGAAGAAGATTAGTATGTTGGAGTACTGTACTACCCTGTTAAGGCTTGCCTTGTCAGTCCCATGGGTTTAATTGTTCATGCAGGACTTTGTGCTGCACTGGATACTGACTTTTGTTCATTACTTAGTGATAGACAGTTATTGAGGTATGTAAGAATATACTATAATAGAACTATGTTGTTATATGTAGAAAGGCTGTGACTGTTCCCCCCTTGTGAACCTGTGCAGAGTAGTCCCTGGAATTACCTAAGTGCGAAATACATTGACTGTCACACAAAAGAAGCCATTTCATTCCTGGGAAGCTGGTAACCAGTTAGAGATGTCCCTGCCCTAAGTATCTCCCATTTGTCTTCCTCTCTTCCACAGCCTTTGCTGCATGTGTTTTGGTAATATATTGGGATGAACTAAGGGCATAGCTTGAGGCACGTGGCAGCGAGTGTTAAGGCAGGCATTAGTCTCTGGTGTGGCCTTTTTGGGCACATCCTGACTGGACATACCAGATTGGCTGAAGAATTACAGTTTTAGGTGGCTTTTCATCCTTGGAGGAGTGTAGAATGATAGTCTGTGTTGCCTTAAATCTTAATTCCTGCATGTCTGGGGTTTATTTTTAGCATCAGGCTTGATCCTGTTGAGATGCCATTTCTTTCTATTACCACTTGTGCTATCGTTTTAAATGTGATTTATCAGGTAAAGAATACTTGTGGAATTGTTTGTTGTTGGGTTTTGGTTTTGTTTTTTTCCTCAGGGGTGTTTCCTTTCTTCCACAAATAACTGAAAATGCTGACAAGAAGATTTCCTCCTGGCACTACTGTTGCAGAGGGGGAAACATCAATACTTGGGGTGTTACCTTCAGTTGGGAGAGTGAAATATGCTGTGATTCTGAAATACTCGCTGAAGTCAAGAAATTACCAATGCAATTAAAGAAATGCAGAGTTTTTAAGGTCTTCCTGATCAGAAACAGCTTGATCTGAAGCGTCTCAGATTCCTTTTGTAAAATACTGGGACATTTTTATTTAAAATTCCCGGGACTTTGCAGATGAAGTTTAACTTTGAGAATATAAAAAATGAGCTTTAGAGTGCCTGCCGGGCTTTTGCAGTTACACTGGGAAGATGATTCATGGTGCCTGTTGATGGATGTCTCAGAGAAGTGAGTGTATTCCAGGTGTTACCCTTGCGAAGAGGGAGCTGGAGCTATCATTTCTTTCTAATATGTGGAATTTCTAGGTGTAGGGAAGGATTTCCTGATTCTAGTTATATTTTTTTCCATCCCAGACTAAGAACTCGGTTGTCTCCTCTTCCTGCAGCCAGTATTTGCTTTGGCTGTTCACTTTGGGATTTGTTGTGAGCTGAGCTTAATCATTTTGTAGTATCTTTATTGCTTATACAAGTTATAAATCGAGTAATATTAAGATAGTAGAAACTAAAGGTTAGAGTGTAGTTACTCTGCTCCCCATAGCACCTGCACCTGATGAAACAGATCTTCAGATATTTTGCTCTTGATCATGCAGAAGGCTCCATCTGTGTAATGTTTTGTGCTGTAGTTGAGTGCCTGAGGCCACTTACCTTGTTCTTAATTGGAATATTTTAATCTACCTTTTGACCAGGTATCCAGCTCACATTGAAGAAATTGATTATGAAGAAGGAAAAGTGCTTATCCATTTCAAACGCTGGAACCATAGATATGATGAATGGTTTTGTTGGGACAGTCCTTACTTGCGTCCCTTAGAGAAAATACAGTTAAGAAAAGAAGGATTACAGGAGGAAGAAGGTTGTGCAGTAAGTAGAAAATAGAGGACTTTTGAGTGTGTAACAATTTAATATGCAATTATATGAATTATGACCATTAAAATGCTTCAGTGTTGCTGTGTTGCTTGCTCTATGAGTTTTACGGTCTAGTCTAAGTATTGGAAAACAATTTAGATGTTTTAATGAAGTTACAGATTTCAGTAATTCTCAGATGAAAACACTTCTATCTTGTAGGGATTTCATATAAATGATCAGGTGTTGGCATGCTGGTCTGATTGTCGCTTCTATCCAGCCAAAGTTACTTCTGTTAACAAAGATGGTAAGGAGTCACTTCTTGTTTTGTCACGCTTGTTAGTAATGCATTTCTGATTGTATTCTGACCTCTTGTGAAGGTGGAGAGAGTACACCAGACAGAAAACTGCTGTGAAAAGCTCTATTTTCAGTTGTAGTTTTTAGTCTGCCATCAAGTTTTTTTAACCTAACCTCTCATTTGGTTTATGACATAAAAGAACTTTCTGCTGGGTCAGTAATTGCTTTAAGTATGTATTTGGGAAAAGCTGTTTCTTCTGGAGTTTACTGTCAAGAGATACATGCAATTGCAGTAAAACTGGTGTCAGAGCTGCAAAACCCCTTTACGAATGGAAAAACCAGCACAGTCATGCTTCTCCTCATCCTTTTTTTAATATCAGTAAGGAATCATGAAGGACTTGTGCTGTGCTTTCTTTAGATTGTATATTCCAAGATTAAGAAGAAAAAGTCTGTGTAATTATCTGTTGGAGTATTCCCCCACAGCTGTTTGAGAGGCAGGTATATCAAAAGAGCAACACTAAGTTTAGACATGCATCTTTATGCTTACCAGAATTCGGTTTTTGGTAATGTCAGTTTTGCCCTTACCTGGCCTGTGATAAGACCTCTGCTGTTGAAGATTCTAACAACACAGATAAGGCAGCTTTTATCTATAATACAGCTAGAGTATTGGAGCAAATACTCTGTTAAGTATCTTGTTTTCAAATTTTAGGTACATACACTGTGAAGTTTTATGATGGTGTAGTCCAGACTGTCAAAAACATTCATGTCAAAGCTATTTCCAAAGATCAGGTAAGTATTGTGTGTTTGCTACTGGAATATTCTGAGTTGAATTGAATATTGTGCCTGGTTGAGAAATAATTCTGCCATATTTAACCTTAACTGTATGAAGTTGAAGAATCTTAAGAACTATTGTTCATAAGAAAGGCAAAATATTTAGTCTTTCCTATCTCCTTTAGGGAGTCTCATGTTTCTGCATAGCTTTGGGTAGGTTGTGAAAGGACTTTGTTTTCTTCATTTAACGACTGGGAAAATTTCTCTTAACCCAAGAGATAAGTTTTATGTTAAAACATTTTGTTCTGTCCTTCAGCATAAAAAACATAAAGAGAGAATTTCCTAGTGAGCTCTGGTTACACAATCAGAAACAAAGCTTAAAAATACTTGAGCCACTGCAGAGCTCAAGATTCAGTGGTGAGTGTAAATTACTTAAAGTGTGGATTCAGGTACAGTACAGATGCAGCAGCATGCTGGCAGGGAATGGAAAGTGTCTTGTTCCTGTTCATCAGTAGGAGAGAGCCCCAGACCACCTGATTTCCAAAGGCAGCAGTATAAGCTGGTTGTTCTTTAATGTCAGTGTTTCTCTGTTCCTGTGTAGAGGGTGTAGGATGCTATATTGAACAGTCATGGTAAATGCCAATGACTTGCACTGTGAATGTACTTATACAAGGACACACAGCTTTTAAGAGTTCGGGAATATCAAGAGACAATTCAGACATACTGTATTTGTGGTTTAGTTTCTTGGGAATAATTTGATTGAGATGGTTCGTGAGTGTTCCAGTACCACATACCTGCTTCAAATGGGATGGTTCTGTGAGCAGCACAACTGATGAAACCTGAGGCACATAACAACAAAGAAACAGCAAATCTCTTTGGCATTGAGTTGTGAAAAGATTGAATCTGAATCTCTTGCAGTGTCCTGTGAAAGCTGCATGGGTCCTTGAACAGTTCAAGTGCCTCTGAATTTTAATTTGTGGTTTACAATAAATTCTGTCCTCTGAAAAATTGGACAAAGATGCAAGTCTGCTAAATGCAGCGGTGAGGGAGGACTCTGAGATTGCAGTAAGTTAATTTTCATATGTTGTTCTCTTTATTCTAGAATATTGTGGGTAATGCTAAGCCGAAGGAAAGAGGTAATGAAATTCCATCATCTCCTGAAAAGCAGGAGAAATTTAAAGAACAGAGGAAAGCAACAGGTAATGCAAAGAAAGACAAGGATGAAAAGACATTAAAGACTGAGAAAAGAGTTAAGCAACCTGATAAAGAAGGAAAATTGATAGGCATTTCAGAAAAAGGCAAGGTCTCGGAAAAGAATATATCTAAGAATGGAAAAGAAGATAAGGAGAATATATCAGAGAATGATATGGAATATTCAATAGATACACAAATTGAGAAGAAGCCAGAGAATGACAGCATAAAGAGTCCACAAGAAAACGTGAAAGAAACTAAACGAAAACGTGGAAGACCACCAGTAACTCCTCCAACGGGTATGTATCTGAACATAAATGTTTAGGCCGTATATCAGAACCCTTGTGAACTTACCTAAAGGAACAAGAAGTGTCTTGCTCTTTCACAGCCTCAGTCTCTAGAAGCTCACAGAAATGTTTAAACTCATCTTTGTTCAGGCTTGGTTAGGACAGCTGAGAGCATCCTTGTCAGGCAGGTTTGGAGCTTCAGTGGTTTGGTCAGAGATTACATATAGACAGATAATCTTCATATGTTATAAACCATGTCTACAGCAGGATTAAATGCTAATGTGTAGACTTTGGAAAGCCAGGTGAAACTCTTGATGAAGTCCAGTATTGTAAGCTGTGAGGCTTGGGAATTTGTTTTACAGCTTCACATCCAGTCAATTTTGTTCTCTATGTGAACATGCAGAGCAAAGTTCTCAGACGCTGCAGCCCATCACTTTGGAGTTAAGACGTCGGAAAATACCTAAAGGAGGTGAAATTCCACCAAAGCGCCCCAGGATTGAAAAGAATTTGTGTGAGTATTTCTTGGTGTTCAGCTCTCACAGTATTTGTACGTACAAGTTCTTGAAGCTTAAGTGGAGTGGGAAAAAAAGTCTGTAGTACTGACCTTGAACCGTGATACATGCAATGGCTGAAATGCATCACCTAGTCTTCTTCCATTGGTCATTTGTATGCAGCATCATTGTGCTTGAATTTCCTCCTAAGTTTTGGAAGCTGGGTTTGTATAAAGGATCCACAAGCTGTGAATCTTGATGCAGAGGGAGAGGCAGCAATTATATTGCAATACACAGAAGATTATAAAAGCCTTTTTCTAGTTATAGAAACTTTAATTACTAGATGGAGGGCTTACCACATTGCTTAGCAAAGAAACTTTAATGCTAGGTAAATTTCCACATCAGTGCAGTCTAATAGCTTTTACTTTATCTTGGTATACTGTGTAGTGATGTTGAACTTGAGCGTGTTGATGAGAAAAGACAATTACATTAGTGGTGAGGATCTGAGGAAAGCTGTCTTTCCCTTACTTAGGTCCACAAATGTTAAAACTTCAGTGTGCATAGAGTCAAAGTTGGTTTGTGTCTGAATTATCCCATCTAACTTCTGGTATTACTAATGTCAGTGGGACAGTTGCTGTTTAAAGCAGTGTTTTACCAGTAAGGTATTGATCTGTATTCTTACTTTAGATCTATTTCTAAAAGAAAAGTTGAGGGACCTGTAACATAACTGTTAATATGATTGTAGCTTTTACAGAGAGGTCTGATCTCCAGGGCTGTGTAACTTTGCTATTATCCTCAGTCCTTAAATACATTTTCAGACTGCTACTGGAAGATCTTTAAAGTTTGCTTGTGAGCTATTTAGTAATCCTGTAACTGCATGGTACCATTACATTTGTGTGTTCCAGCTCAAGATAAATTGAAGAGCTCTTCAGGTAACCCTGAAAAAGACCAGATCAGGAGACGATCTTCAAGACTCTCGTCTGGTATTAGCCAAGAGATTTTAAATACAGATCATGTCACAACTTCAACAGAAATTCAGCCTTGGAAAGATGCAGTATCTGACCAAAAGGAGCCTGAGAAGGGTAAGCAGCTTCCTGCTACGCTCTTGTGGCAGTCATCTAGTTGTAAGCATGATACTTGTGTATCTTGCAGGCTCTTTAGCTGCAACTGAAACCTGGTTACATCAGCAGTGCAGAGAAAACTCAAGTTTGTATCTTTCTGTGCAGCCCTGATTGCCTTTTGCTTTTGATTCCCTCTCCCATCAGTAATCCTAGTATTCCCTTTGCATGGTTGGAGCTCTTCCAGCAGAGGGATGACTGGCCTTGCAAAAGGAGAGCTCCATAGGCCGTAAAATAACGTGAAGGAAATGTGGTAGTTTGTTTTGTGGTGGCGGTTTTGGGTTTGTTTTTTTTTTTTAAAGGTGCAGGTTATGCTTGTGAAAATGAGGTAATTACAAAGTTTTCACACTTTGAGATTGAAGCAGTAACCCAAATGCTAAGTTTACAGTTTAATCCTCTTGTTCAGCCTCAAACAGGATGCTTTTATTCTTAGACTGGGTGGAGATGCCCAGTGCTTCATTGCCTTTCCCTTTCAGGGGGAGCTCTGATAATGGTTTGAGGAGACCTGTCCCATTTTGGGCCTTCAAGAGTTAGCCTGTGTGTTTCTAAGGAGCTCTACATTTAGAGGGTTGCTACAAGTAGCTGTGCTGTTAAAAACTCATTTTGTGTTAATACAACAGCAAGCATCTGAGCGTGGATGGCTGTTTGTCTCCACTGTAACGTGATGAACACATACATCAGTGTTCTGAAATACGCCTTTGTGTGTGTTGTACTCAGTGAAATGTTTCTCTTCCATTCTAGTCCAGTTAGAAATTCCTGTTGAGTCTGACCAAAGTTTCAGTGAACAAGGATCTCCTGGAAACACATCACATACCACAGCACCCAGCACAGATGCCAGTTTACAGGAAGAGAAGGCTGGAGACACCGAGTCTTCCTCTGTAACTGTAACTCAAGAACCTTCTCCTGCTCCAGGTTCAAATTTTGCTTTCATATTTAATATTAATGCATTTCTTAAGGCAGCTGCTGCCAGGTGTTTTGTGCTTGTACAAGTGTCACTAACAAAAATGTGCATTACTGCAATGGTAACCATGGGGGAAAATGCTTATTTTTCTTCCCTATGGTCTCAGTTTTGATCTTAAGCTCTGGCGTTTGATGGTGATCTTTCAAAAAGTAGAAATCATAATTTTTAAATGGGTGGAATATTTTTAGCATGTGAATGATGAAATTAACAAACTCTTGGTTTCAGGTTATAATTCAATGTTTGTCATTCTGGATTAAGTTGGACTAACATCTTAAAAGAGCAGCTTCTTCTGTCATTTCTGTGCTGCACGTGTGTGGAAGCATTAATGCTTGGTAATCCTGATTGTGTATTTCTATATCCTCACGTTTTGGCTTCTGTTATACTTCAGCCTTAGACTATTCAGAGGTTTTAGTGCAAGTTTGTGAAATGGTTCAATCACTGCAGTATCTGACTTAGTAATGTGTATAATTCTGTTTTCCCTTAGCTGGGGTGTGTACTTACCTTGCTTTTTCAGATTGAAATTTCCTGTACAGATAGTAACGATGCCAAAACATAGTGCTGTCCTGTGATTATTTCTTGTAACTTCAACACTTGTATCTGCAGCTAACTGGGGAAACCTGAACTACAAACTCCCTGGTTTATGCTTTATCAAAGAAGCTTCGTTTTAAGCGGAGCAGCACATTTAGAGGCGTGTGCCATTGCTCAGCATTGCTAATCTGTGTGTGCTGGCTGTCATCATGTTGTTTGGTTATTCCAAATTTGCCCTCCTGCTTCCACGTGCTTTCACCCACTCTTGTGTACTTGTACAAATAAAACACCCTCTCTCTCTTTGCCATTGATGTGTACCTTCTGTGCAGGAGGGAATTTGCCTCTTTTCCTTTGCTTAGGTTGGATGGAATGGTCTCATATTTACAGCTTGGAGCTGTGTTGATCTTGCCTGTCCTTCCTAAGCAGACTGGTGAAATATCCTCCTGTATTTTAACTATGGTATGTTCAGAGCCTTTTCAGTTGGAGTGTGTTGGGGCCATGCCTTTCCTTCCCTGTGTTCTGGCAGTGAGTTCAGAAGATACAGAGTGGCTGCAGTAGCTTTTTGCTAGTCAGGCTGCTGCACTCTTGTCAGTCTGTAAAGTACTTCTGGGTTTACCTTTTTTAACTGATGGGCTGTCGCTTGTTTTGGCTCATGAAGGCAAAATCACTGGGTGGTTATTCCTGAGCAGAATGTTAATGTCTCCCAATAGCAAGGAAATGACATTACTCTCTGTTAGCTCCGAGTACATGATTCTTGACTCTGTTGGAATCTTATGCTTCAGGCAAGCAGAAAGAGTGGTTGGTGGCTGTTGTGACTCAAGCCGTTGGCATGTGAGGTGTGCAGGTACAGGTCTGACTCCAGACAGGTACAGTGAACTGAACTGCTTTGAGGTGAACTGTGCAGGACTTGCACCTTAGGCACAGCTCTTATAAAGAGGTGCAGGAGATTGTAGCAGTTCTGAAGATTGAAAGAATATTGAGTGTGTCTGAAAATACTCCCTTTTGAGACAAGCTATATAATAGAAGAGAAGGAATGGCAAAGCTCTCCACAGCAGTGAAGAGCCACCTTTTGGGTATGCCTTATGGAGAAAACCAGCCTGATATAAAACTTCAGTGACTCACTGCATTTCTTAAAGCAAGGTTGTTCTAGTTGACAGGCATTTAGCCTTTTGGTTTGTAAATTCCAGCAGATTTCCAGCTTGAAGCGTAGCATTTTTAAGATGACACTTATCTTTGTGTAAGCTTTTGAAGGTACTCCTTGAGCTGCAGATTGACAAAGCACAGCTTCCATAAGGTCTGAGAATGTGGGGAGTGGTAAATCTTGGTTTTTCTGAGCGGAATTAACTGTATCAACAGCGTAGAAAAACTGTGTTAATGATCACAGATGTTCTTCTAAGCAGTTAATGCTGTGTTAAGAAAGCATCTGTTGCCGTTGCCTTTGTAAAATAATCCAGAAGTCATCATGGAATAGTCTCAAAAATAAGGTTGATTTTACTTGGGTGTAATCACAAAGCTTTGGGGTTAGTGATCAAATACCATGAAAAAATGCCTCCTGTAAGGACATCTGGTTTCTAACTTAAGTTGAGCTTGTCTGTATGTGGAGGTCCCTTGCGGATTCAGAAGCTTCACACGGTGATATTTTACTGTAAACTTACTGCTTGACGTGGTTATAGCTCAAACCTTGCTAGTACGGCATGATGAGAAGCAAGAGGCTTCTTTGAACACAGAAGAGATGGGTTTTTTTTTCTCCTTTGGTGCTTGTTTGACCTTGAGTCTCTGTACTTAATATTCTAATGCGTAATTGACTGCCAAGTGAGGAGTTTTCATTTGGGTTATAAACATGGAAGAAAGAAGAGGTGGCAGGTCTATCATTAACTTTATACTCGGAGAAAACACCCACCAAGCTCCTCTGGAAAGGGAAGTGACTGAAAATCTGAAGCTAATACAGCAAAACTTTCTCCCCATAGAAACCAGTTTTAGTACCATGTGTTGTGAGCAGAAATTATGTGCACGTGCAGGGGTGGAAGTTCCCCCCTTTGGATGTTGGTGTAGTGAGTTGGCCTCAGAGCATTGGCTGGGAGCACAGCCTCTTCAGAGCCTCTCCTTGGAGCTTTCTGCTGTGTCCTGGCAGCAGGAAGCTCTGTTGTGCTGCTTGTAAAGGAGGAAGATGCCCCCAAATGTGTGGTGATGGTAATAACTAAAGCTTTGCTTCAGACTGTGGGATTGTGTTTTTGTTACTCTGGATAGATGCTTTTGTATGTTGCAATAAGCTTTTGCCTGCTTTGCTTCCCTCTACCCCATATATTGTTACCTCTGTTTCTAAACTTCAGCTAAGGTGATCTTGTGCTCTTCTTCCAGCTGTAGCTCATCAGTTAGAAGCCATTCCCTGTATCTTCTCTGGAATTTGTCCATCAATGGAAGGGACTTGTTCCGAGCTTGGATACAGGGTCTCACAATAGTTGAGTGATGCTGTAATGGGTTTCCTCGTTATCTTTGTCATATTTTTTGGCTAAAAGGTCTTTGGACCCCATTACCCAGTTCCGTTGCAGTGAAGTTTTCCAATCTTTTCCAGTCTTCACGTTAGTTATTAAATAGAAACAAGTTCTCTCTCACTGTCCTGAATCCTGGGTTTTAGCTTTATGGGTAGGAGAGCCTTCCTGAATTACCTTCACTAAACCCCAGGGCCACTTCACTTGACCATTCCTGAAACACTTCCTTATTCTTCATAAATGCAACTTTTGATGGTATATGACATGTTTCAGTTTTGGTATTGACAAACTTTGTCATTGAGCAAATGTGGTCCTGTTGTCTGGCTTTGTTGCAGTCTTTGACCATAATTGCTTGAGGCAGCATCTCTGTCAGCATGTTCTTAATATGGCTATGCCAAAATGTCTTTCACCTTGTTGTTACCTTTGTGAACCACCCAAGAGCAATGTCTTCATTTTTACTCTTTTCTTCTCAAAATTAACTGAATGTTCTTTTTTAACCAGTCTGTGCATATGACTTGTTAATCCTTCCCTGTACATCAGCCTCCACAGTACCATTGCTTGTTTTTGCTCTACGAATGACTTCAAGTGTTGCTTCGTTGTCATAACACAGTACTTAAAAGCTGAGTGTGCTTCAGATACTGCTGTCTAGGATGCTCTTCTTCCCTGTGATTTAACCTTTAAGTATGCAGCTCAGTAACACCATTTTTGTTGCTGCATGCTGAAAACTTCTGACCAAGCTGTGCTGTTCTTAACACCAAGATCGTGTTGACATTACCTTTAGCGTTCCCATTCAATGCATTCCTGCACATGTGCACTTGTGGAAAGTCTGCCTCTTCACTTATTCTTGTTTGTGATGTTTCTGGGTCCTTCTGTGTTCCTTCTTTGCACATGTTTCTGATAGAATGTCTTAATTCATGTGCCGCGTACCTTCGGTTTTGCATCACTGTTGCTCAGTTTGGGTTTGAGCTTTAAGCAGTCTTCAAAGCTTGAAAATGCTTGTCAACATGGAAATAATATTTGAGTACTGGCAAAACAAATGGACAACTCATACTTGAAAGCTGGTTTGTAAGAAATGACACCTCCTTTCCATTGTCTGTAGTTGGTGAGGAACTTTTTGATGCTGTGTGTATTAGTGATGGATGATTGCCTGGATCTCCGTATATTTCTGTGTTTCCAAATGGCTACCTCTCCTCTGTATTAGGCTCAGATACTGGTGACAGTTCTGATGTAGTTCAGAGTGGGGTTTTATTATGCATTTCTTGGCAAAAGCACGAATGAAAAGTTTCTGAAGTGCTGGAAAAGAAGTAAGATTTCGCCCGGTTACATTTAGGTACAGGCCTGGCTTGCGCAGCAGTGCTCAGTACACCAGGCACCTGGAAGTGTTCTTCAGTTTGCTGCTTTTTTTTTGAGCAACCAGCTGCAGCTCATCGGGGACATTTTGGAACAGATGCAGGCAATTTTCCTATTCCTCAGTTTCAGTCTTCAGTTGCTGCTTGAAAATTGAAATAAACTTCAGTTTTCCTTGAGAAATGCAGTTGTGACATACTGCTTCCGTTGTTCTTGGGAGTAACCAGGCTTGGGTGGTAGGAGAAGGAAAGCAAATAGCAGAATACTTGTGAACAAAGAAGCAGAACTGTTTTCCTTGGAGAGCTCTTTCACCAAAGATGTGAGCAGTTACAAACAATTAAATGCATGCTTGATAGGACATAACCTTCAGCATTCTGACTAAAGGCACAATCTCTGTGTAATTCAGTTTCATATCTGTGTTAGCACTATATTACAGTAACATTAGCAGTTGGGCAAGGGACTCATGGAAGCAAAATACCATTTTCCAACAGTAACTCATTGATAAAAGCACTGCTGTTATAAGAGTTTTTAAGAGCACAGTAGGGCAGAGTTTTCCCTCCAAAGCTGTTGAGCTTAAAGGCAGATACAGCATTAAAACTTAATTTTTAGCATTTTGTGGCTAACATGTTTTAATGCATGCCCATTTCTTAACCTTTTTTTTTTTTTTGTTAAGTTTAGGAAACCATTTGATAAATGTAGCAAATGCATGGGGGAATTTATCTGTTTTGTTCTTACAGTAACAAAACCTTGTAGGAGAGCAGATTTTCTTGCATCAAAAAAACCTGCAACTCTTGATCAAGATCACAAGTTTAGATGCAAGTTCTTGGACTGTTCAAAATCCTTCCGCAAAGCCAAGTTATTGCATTATCACATGAAATACTTTCATGGAGTGGAGAAGGCTGCAGAATCACAGCAGAACCCTGTAAAAAGAAATATTCAAACCAGAGCTTCTTTGGCTTCTGAAAAAGCTAATCAAGAAAGGCCAAAAAGAGGACGGAGCACGGCTGGTTCATTGTGTAAGTATGTTGCTGATCTCTTCCTTTTTTCAAACAGCAGCAGTAGGCAGGACAAGCAGGAAAGAGCAGAAATTTGGGGCTGACGGAGTCTCTTTAGGGCTACATCTTAGCATCTTTGTGGAGAAGCAGCATGATACCTGTAAACATGTTTCAGAATAGATAAAGCTGAAGAAGTTCCCTCATTTAGAAATATAGCTCATGTTCTGCAATGACCAAACTATGCAGCTTCTCTTATTCCTTTGTAACAACTCACTGTTCTGTTATTAAGGAAGTGATCTGAGTAACTCCAGTTCTCTCCTATTTCTCACTTAGTCTTCACATTTCATAGTCTGACTTGAAGAGTATACTTGACTAGAAACCCACTACCAGTTTCTGCAGTATTTACCATTTTCATTGCTAGAGCTGTGGGGGAAGAAGGTCCTAGTGTTAAACAAACGTAATTGGTACAGCTGTACTTGGAAAAGATCCTCACACAACTCATGGGTGGTGGAAATGGATAAAAACATAATGGTTAGGTTAAAAATCAGTGCTTAAGATCTAACTGCTTTGCAGTGTTTGGGAATCATGCTAACTTCTGTTTCAACATCTCATTCTCCACAGTGCTTTTCTTCCTGGTGTCCTGTGTAACATCAGAGTGGCAGTGCAGGTCTAGTTTTGAGCTGCGGGGTGGTGTTGATAACCTGTCTAGACTTTGTTCTTGTGAACTGACTTGTCTTTGTACTGCAGGTCCATAAAAATTGTCATCTCTTGTCTTCTGATTGAGCCTGTTTTATCAAACCCAACTGCCTCTTTGCTCGCTTCCCTGGTGTGTTTTGTCTTTGTTTTTGATGTTTCATTAATATCCTGTTTGAGAATTTCAAAGTCTTGCAAGTTCACTGTGCTACAGGTCACTACAGCAGAATGTATCTGGCTTTGCTTTGCATCATGTCTGCTTTTCCTAATGTGTCCAGCAAATGTTTTCTCATTTGAGATGCTACTGCCTGTTCCTAACAAGATAACACACTACTACTGCATGTAAACGCCTAGACCCCAACTACATCTGTAACTTCAGTAAGGCAAAAGCATAAGATTTGACTGGGCAGAGGAAGGTTGTTCTTCACGTGTTAGGATGTGCCAGCTTGTGTGTATTATGCTTTGCATGCAGCTTAGGTGAAACTGAAGTGCTGCTCTGACAAACACATGTGAGATGACTGCTTTGAGGAATGGCTGCTAACAACTGCACAGTGATCAGAATGGGCTTCTTGCATGTTGTGCTTTTCCATAGACTTCTGCTCTGTGTCACTGCATAGTTGTTTTGGTTTGAGAAGTTGTTCTGTGATTGTCTTGAATGAAGTGATGAGTCACTCAAGGTCTTGAGCCTTTCATTTATCCGTTCCCTCAAGTGCACACTGGTTTGATGTAATGGTTTTGGCTGCACTGGCAGGTAATTCTTGATGGTGTTGAGTTGTAACCTTATTCTAAGCATCCACCCCTTTCATTCCCTACTTGTGGATAGACACCTTTAACCTGGATTGTTTTGATGATCTAAAGCATATCCCTGTAAATAGCCCTTGGGTTGTGCTGGCTATTGAACAGTGTGTCAAGGTGGAAGGTGGACCGTAAAGTTCTCAAGTCTCCTTCACTGTCAAAGCCTGCTACTGAAACTGCAGTAACGTTTTCTTCACCAAGAAAGAGTGATGTCATTATATATCAGTCATATGTCTGATGCTGAATGCTATTTAGGGTTTAACTCAGTATGTTCTCAATTCCTCTAAATGGTGGTGTGGAGGTACTGCACATTCTAAAGTAGAGCTAATGGGGTTTATAAGGTCAGGCTGTTGGATTTTGTGTTCTGTTCTCCTGTCCTTTTGCAGCCATCTCTTCTGTTCTTAATGGTGTCTATGTATAGGAAGACAGCCAGCTGAGCAAGGCTTTCTACAAGTCTCTTGTTAAAAAGGCTTTTTGGATGTATTGCCTGGTGAGAGTGGAGGCTTTTGAATACATCATTAAGCATGGTACATCTTTACAGTCTTTGTGAGCAAAGATTCTTCTGCTCAAAGTGAATATATTTAAGTCATTTAACCGTTTGGTACAAATTTCCCTTTCTTGTATTTCATTATATAAGTTAATGCAGTGCTTAAGAAAAGCTGGCAGTTTCTAACAGGTAAAACTCTAGAAATGATGGGTCTTTTTATTCCATAAGCCTGGAGATGGTCTTGATTTAGAAGCTTTATCACACTTAAGGCCTCATCTCAAAAGTTTCATTTTGGTGTTCTGCAGCTCCTTACTGTTTCTGCTACACATGAAATAAATAAATGGTGGAGGTGGACTGTTGGCTAGATTGAAAGTGAAAATACTTATTGTTCCTGAAGTAATGGCTGTAATTACTATCATTAGGAGATGATGTAATAATATTCAGAACAGCAGCACAACCTTTTTCTTGTAGTGCTTAAAATCAGAATTTCAGCACATAGGAATGAAGACGGATGTACAGTTCTGAAATCTGAATGGCAACTTATGCCAGGCTTCAGCCTGGAGAAGAGAAGGCTCTGGGGAGACCCTATAACCACGTAGTAGTGCTAGTTTTGAGACTTTAAAAGTGCTGTGGTATTAGGCTGCAGTTGTGGTGTGTAGGTATAGAATGACAGCCTCAGCCTGGCAAGCTGCTGCCAGGCTTGGCTCTGTTGTTCTTTCCATGAGGGAGAAGAGAAAGCAACAGACCTGTGATTTGTAGTTCAGAGACTGTAGAAAATCTGTTTTACTGAAGAGTCCTTAGAATTAAAGAGAAACAAAACTGATTTTGTCAGTGGGCTTACATTTCTGTGTATGACCTCACTGATAAAAGTTCTGCCTACTCAAAGTTGGTCACAGTATGTCAAGTTAATGTGTAAGTGTCGTAATGCCAGGAATACTCTTAAAGAATAAAGGGATCTTTGTCTTGTGTGACTGATGAGATCGTACCTGTGCTTGTATAGGAAGCAGGCTGGCAAACTTGCAGGTTAAACATCTAAGATGTCCAGTTGTCAGCTGATAGCTGTTAACTTGTGAACCTCTGATGTGTGTTAGTGGTTTGCAGGGTGATCCTTTGAGGGGGTTCCCTGTTTCCTCTTAAGATTGGCTGAGGGAGGCCTCTGCTGGGCTTGGAATGTGCATGGGTGACCTCCGAACACAGAGTGTCTCACTGGAGTAGGGGAAGCTCTGCATTCACACCCACAGTGTTCTGCAGGATTACTGATGGTCTTTGTAGCTTATCTTGAGAAGGCTGCATTTAGTTTGTGGAGGGTGGCTGTGCGAAATGCTTCAGCTGTAAGTCAGGATGATGTGTGGTCTTTCAGTCTTAAAAATACCAGTGGATATTCTCGGCGAATGATCTCACAGCTGTGGATGGTGAATATTGCCTAATTCACAGCACTGGGGAATTCAGTCTCTGCTTCCTGTGAAAGCTGCATTATCTTCTGAACTGCAGGGTCTTAAAAGATACGGCATATTCTTGGGAAACATCTCCTTAAAACCCAGTCTTGCCAAGCTAAAAAACCCTTATGGACACAAAATGTGGTTTTGTTCTACCAAGAGTCTGCATCTACAGATCTCAGCCTACGAGAAGCCTGTGCTCTTTGAAAGACTGGTGAGCTCAAGGTGGTTGTGGGGTTCCTCGGATGCTAATTCATGAAACTGGGAGAAGGGGAACCTGAGAGGCCTAAATGAAGCTTGTCTGGTTTTTGTACTGTAATTTTGGGGTTCCCTGAGGTAATGTTCTGTAAATAGTTTTGGAACTATGCACAATGGTTGATAATCAGGAAAGCCTGAGAAAGGCTTCTTTACCTGACTTCTCACGCTGTACTGCTGCAAACAGTTTGCATTTCGGAAGGTTTGCTAGGACACTGGGATTCCCAAACAGCCTATGCAGTATCTTAATCTGAATTTTCAGCAACCATGCGCCACAGGAAGAAGTTCTGTCTGTCTGAACTGATGCTGTCTTGTTCAACCCACGAGCTGTGGAAGTTCTCAGAGGAGCAGATCCTGTTAGCAAGAAGTCCTACAAAAATAGACCCATATTTTAAATAAAAAGGACATGGAACTGTTGGAACAAGTCCAGAGGAGGCCACGAGGATGCTCAGGGGCTGGAGCACCTCCCGTATGAAGACAGGCTGAGAAAGTTGGGGCTGTTCAGCCTGGAGAAGAGAAGGCTGCGTGGAGACCTCAGAGCAGCCTTCCAGTGTCTGAAGGGGGGCTATAGGGCTGCTGGAGAGGGACTCTTCATTAGGGACTGTAGTGACAGGACATGGGGTAATGGGTTAAAACTGAAACAGGGGAAGTTTAGATTGGATATAAGGAAGAAATTCTTTCCTGTGAGGGTGGTGAGGCACTGGAATGGGTTGCCCAGGGAGGTTGTGAATGCTCCATCCCTGCTGGTGTTCAAGGCCAGGTTGGACAGAGCCTTGGGTGAGATGGTTTAGTGTGAGGTGTCCCTGCCCACAGCAGGGGGGTTGGAACTGAATGATCTTAAGGTCCTTTCCAACCCTAACTCTTCCATGATTCTATGATTCTAAAACCAACAACAAAAAAAACCTTTATATACTTACTCCTGCAAGAGGAGAACTTAGTCCTGTTGAAAATAGAAGGCCACATGCACACTGCAGTATCTTATCAAGGAGTATCTTCTGGTTTTGATACTTGTGGGGAAAACATGCAGCTACTTACAGTTCTGCAGCTCTTGAGGTAAATAAGAACATAGGGAAAAGCAACTGTTTGTTGCCTGACTGGATAAAAGGTGCCTTTGAGAAAGTCTTGCATGGAAATTTGGAGTTTAGTCAAATTTCTGTCTTGTGGCTGCTCTTAAGCACTATGGCAGGTGACCAGAAGGTAACAGGTTGGTTACAGAAATAGTTAGGAACCTCCTGTACTTTTGTTTTTCCGTAAGTTCTAATGCAGCATCAGAGGGAGAGGACCAGGTGAGAATGGCCCTGATGGCCTCCAGCTCTTGGAGTTTCCTTTGCCTGAAGACATCCACTTTATTCTGAAAGCTCCGTAATGACATGTTTTAGTGTGCCTTGTAGCTTCAAGTTGAAATGTTGGCCAGGGCAGAGCACTTGATGCCAGTTCTTCTCCTAAGTATGCTCTCTTGGGCTCTTCTCTCTGTTTTCAGTCGTTTTCAGGTACTGCTCAGAATTATTTAGAGGTGTCCAGGTGAAAATCTGCCTGGCACGTAAGTCTTCAGACAAGAAGGACGTTGTCTTTCATATCCACTGAACCTCTGAGATGCTTATGGTGATAGAATGGGATGTTCTTGATGAAAGTCAGCAAGTTGTCACTGTGGCTGCTGGCTCTCATTGACCAGAATGCTTAATGTCACACTCCAGGGTGGCGGTGTGTTTGTCTCGTTTAGCTTGGCTGTCCTAAATGCCATGCAGCCTTAGCTTTTGTCAGCTTCACCTTTCCTTTTCCATGTCCAGGAGCCTTTCAGTAGGAGTTGCTAGCTGTAGTTAGGCGATAGGAACTGTTTGACTTGACTTAAAGTAAGTGGAATCTCAGCTAAAGCCATGTTTGTATCTAGTGATTTTTATGAGTTTTAGGTAGTGATTCTGGATTCTTGCTTGTTTCAGTGGTATGGGTTTTAAAGCTGCCCTTCCTTAGATGTGCAGAGCTTTATACCGCTTCTGTGTGTCTCATTACAAAGCATGCCTTTGAGAACAGGCTTTGATTCCTCGAATTAAATCAACAGGGCTTCTTTTCTTTTAAAGAAACTGATAACAAAATTGCCTGACCCATATCTTGGCTGAACTGAGCTGTTTCTCTTTCCATCTTTCTTCAAAGCTGCAGTGTTCCTGGAAGAGTAGAGCTTTATGGAGTGCATTTGCATGCTCTGTTTCTTTTTTTTGTGCAAAAATTCCCAAACCAACACAAGCAGTCCAAGTTTTAGCCTTTACATCAGCTTTGGATTGCAAGTTGAGCAATCCAAATGCTCAAAAATGCTCCACATGGATTGTGAGAGCTACTGCTGGTGGAGTAGACCGGCATCTTGAAAGTGTTTAAAGCTTGGACTTGGTCTTTATTCTCTTTGTAGATGCTCCTTTACACATAGCCCTAAGGAGTACCCAATATAGAGGTGACAAAGTAGAAAGGAGAAGAGCTTCAACTCCTGTAAGTGCATTAAATAGGCACTGACACTCTCTTAGAGAACAAACCAAGAACCACGGAGTGAGATCACTGCGGAAGCCTCAAGAAAAGAGAGTTGGAACTGGTATGCTTTTTAGTCTGACCTGAGAGAGTTAAACTTGGAGAAGTCTTGGAAAGGTTTTAAAACACTGTAAGGATCTGGTAATACTGATAGCAAATGTTCTGTTTGCTTTCTTCCAGAGAGTCTAATTTTTAATGAGTGTACAGGGTAAAATGTAAGCAGTGTTTTGCCACTTCTTTGCTGTAGTTTCAAACGAAGAATCCATGTAGGGAATTCTCTGAATTTTTCTTGCTGTATGCATTGGGATTTATTATTCCCAGGCAGTGGGTAATATTCTTAAGGTGTAAAAGTACTAAAGTATTTGAGGGCATGAAAGATGTGTGCTTATTTGACAAGTCTTAATTCTGTTAAACTCTTGGTTGTCCAAAGCATTAAATATTGGAAGTGTCCTGAACTTGTTGAGATACTTAAGCGTAATAGAAAAGAGGGGGGAGCAGGAGCAGGAGGATCCAGTTTTTTCTTCTGTAGTTTTGAGCTTTTTATAATATTTGACTACTTCTGATAGTCAAAACTTACTGAGTATCTCTGAAGATCTTTGCTTCATGACTTTATTCAGTAGTATAGTGTAAACCCTGTTTATACTGGAATCTACTATAGTGTAGGTGGGTAACAGCCATAATGGGGCAGGATGTGTGTAGGTATACGTACACATGCGCATATATACAAGTAATACATATATTTAAATACCTATTTACAAATAATACATAGAAAACTTTTCAGCATACTTCCAGACTTACTGCATCACCACTTTCCTTTGGATATGTGGTGAGAATTGAGTCACAGTGATGAGGAAAACACAAAAATATCTGAGCTTAGGCTTATTCTATCTGTAACAGGCGATTGTTGTTCTAAAGATAGTCTTGAGAGGATCACCTCTTACCTGTTGCTCTGTTGTTCTGTTGGTCATAGTGGTCGGTCAGTACTTACCACCTCTCTCTATTCTTTTGCTGCCTTCCCTTGTAGGAAGGTCTGAATGAGATCCATTAGTGTCTCCTCATTGGGCTGATGCAGTGGGATGTTTATGGAATCATAGAATAGTTAGAGTTGGAAAGGACCTTAAGATCATCTAGTTCCAACCCCCCTGCCATAGGCAAGGACACCTCACACCTCTCAACTCACACTTTCTTGAGAGGATGACATATAAAGATGAGAACACACTTTTATAGTGCTGTTGGGAGGATGTGACCGAGTACTCATCCTAGTCTTCATTACTCTGCCATTCAAGGAGGTCAGGAGGACTTAGGTCTCTTTCTGGTTTTGCCAAAAACCCCTTTTTAAAAACGTAGTTGTTTTGTGATGACTTTTTAGGATGATACAAGGCAGTTCACCTTTCTCTTTGACCACATGGAACTGCGAAGATGCTTCTAACCTGGCCAGCCTCCTTACCTGGTCTTCTTTCAGTGAGAATTCATTAGACTTCAGAATGCTTGCAAGAAGCAACTCGAGTCAGAAAGCTTATTCGGGGCAGGGGGTTTTGGAAGGTCCCTTTTAGAAGACTCATTCTTTGTGGATTTATTAAGGAAACGTGCATTAGCTGTGTTGTGCAGTTAAGGTAACAGCTATACACAGAAATTTGCAAATAATGGGATTTTTCCAGATTTTTAGACATACCAGCAAGCTCAAGGGGGAAAAGTGTGGAACAAAGTGACAGGTTTTTGTCATATTTATCACAGATATGTTGATTGTGACTGAAATAGCATACTCTGCTCTCAGATATCTTAAACCAAATGTTCTGACCATGCAAATCTCAGTTTCCAAATGCAAAGATGCAAAATTTTCATGCTTATGTTGACTTCAGTTATTCTCTCTGTACCCTTCTGGAAGAATAAAATGGCAGAATTTACTTGCATCCCTGTGTGCAGGGAGCAGGAAATGGTACCCAGAGGATCCTGATCACTGGAGGATTGGGAAATGAGGACAAAGGAAAGAAAGAAGTTGGAGGTTCTGTGCTGAGACTTAAATATGAACCTCTTTCCCCTCCAAATGGTCATGGAGGGGGGATGAAGCTTGTCTTTTGTGCTGCCTGTCGTGTTGCCTTTGAAGGGCACGTAATTGGTAGGGCAGGTTGCCAGCAGTGCCAGCAGTTGATGCGGCTGCTGGCAATGCAGCTTTAGCAGCCATCACTAATGACAGCAAAGAGGAGTGCAAGTGGCAAAGTAGCAGGAGATGTTCAAGGACTAAGAGGGTGGGGAGGTACAGAGCTGAAGCCTCTCACAAGGAGGAGCTCATTGCACATCTCCTGCATGCTCATCCCAGCTGGGGAAATGTGACTGAGACTGCCAGTTTCTCAGAATGAGCTGTTTGTACTAGAAATACGTAGCCTGAGATGGTGAACTGGGGAGTTAAATACTGGTGTGTATGAAAGAGGTTAACATAATACACTGGTATTGCTGGTTTGCTTCGTGAGTGACCACCTAGGGTTCTTAAGTGTGTTCTGTAGGAGAAGCTTTCCTATAATACAGTGTTGTTAGGTGCTTATTCTGGTACCAATAATCAGAAAATGAAATAGGTCTCTGAATGGGATGGGGAGCGGCTTAGTCAGCCAAGCACTCTGCGAGCACAGCTCTTTTGAGATGCAAGGCATCCTTCCATAATAGATTTGATGATTGCATCTGCAGCCTCTGCTGAGTCAGGATAATTTAAGGAAGCACGTAAGTATCTACAGATTCTGCTGTGGAGACTTAAATCTGAAAGACAGGAGTTGTGAACAAACACTAGGATATAGAAAACAAGGGTTTATGTGCACGTCACCTCCCAGCAGGCATATACTTGATGGCGAGGGCTCTGGAAGCATGCTTTGAGTTTGGACTTGATTGAAACGTATTGCCCAATCATTTAAAAATTATAGGGTGTTTTATTCCCATAAAAGTAGGATGGAGAACAGATGATGAGAGGATTGCAGTTAAAGCCAGCTGAACCACTTGTTCCTCCAGCTTCAATGAAAACTGAATACTTGACTGAGGAACCATACTAGAGTCTGGGGGGGTTGGGGTTTTGTTCTTTCAGACTTCAGTCACAATGCAACTGAAATGTTCAGCCATAATAATTTAGAAAACAGTTATAACAAATCTCCCCAATTTCTTCACTTACAGTCTCTGAAACACGTAAGCAGGCAATGGGCATTAGTGTACAACTGAGTTCTCACACGTGCTATTGTAATTTTCTCATGGGACAGTCAGATTAGGACTTAACCCAGCACATTCCAATTATGAGAGCTGGGGATTCTTACAGGTAAGTTTTCTTACTGCTTGTTTTTTGCAGTGAACTGGCCCTGATTGTCCAAAGAAACCGTGGAGGTCTTTAAGAAAGTAATTAAGTAGAATAAGCGTGTATGTGTCTCACAACTTAAGTTGGAATGTTGTCTAATTTCAGCTGTCAAAGAACATGAGAAGAGCAAAGAAAGGAAATCCAAAGACTATGGAAGGTCCAAGTCAAAGAAAAAGAAAAAAAAGAGAAAGAGAACTAAGCCTGGTAAAGCTCTTTTTAATTCTGTAGGGAAATACAACTTCATTGGTTTGTTTTGGCTGTTCCTTAGTTTCATGCTCTTGAGTGAGCATTGCAGAGAAGACTGCTTGCTTCGTTAATCTGTTCTAATATTATTAAGTGGTTAATATTGTGATTTGCAAGATAATTTGTTTCTTGGTTGAGCTGCACCATTATTGCTGGATGACAGCTTGCAGTAGTGCATGTAATGGCACAGAATAAATTAACTCTAAAATAAATATTAAGTATTAATAACATTAAGCATGGCTTTTCATTAGCAAATGCACCTGTTAAGTTGCACGTAAGTATAGAGGGTGCAGATTCCCTGGGTTTGCTACCAAACGCCCTGTGTACCAGGTGTTCTCAGTTATATAAGTTAGTTTTGGTGCTTCTTTAAAAGCCTCATCTAGAGTCTGTACTCATGCTGTGTCCCTCTGTCATGTCTCCTAACATGCTGTTCCACCTATGGTAATAGGGGTGTAGTAGGAACACGTCTTCACTGTTGATTTTATCTACAGAGGCTTGGGAATGCTTTCCTCGGGGCACTTTACACTTTGAAATTCATATCTAGGCCCAGGTGTTACTGGTGATTGGATTCTTCACCTCTGGAGATGGCAGTTGATTCTGGAAGATGTCTCTAGTGAAATGCTTAGAGATCAAGCGTGGCAGCTTTCTCTGCCATTGATGGATGTCTAGGATCATTAATGCAGCACATTTCAAACTAGCATGCATAATTTGTTAAACCAGAGCTTCTTACGGAGGAGTTCCCGAGATGGGAAAGAGGATGGATTGCATTTTTGTTTGCTGCAGTGAAGAAATAGGGCAAGCTGTCATGAGAGAGTAGAGCAGGAGAAGGAACCATAGGCAGACTGACTCAGAATTGTGCTGAAACAAATATTTTAGTGAGGTTCTGATTGTATGGTGCCCTCAAATATGACAATAATATGCATAGTATCATTTGTAGATGCACAAATAATTTGCAGGTAGTACCCACTATTACGTGTCCGCCTGCTCTTGGATTTTGAGATGCTGCTTGCCCCCCTTCTTTTGATGCTGCTTGTGGTTCTTCAGGAGCTTTGATGGTTTTCTCCAGACAACTGATTGGATGGTGCTGCTTATAACTGCACATAGCCTTGATGTGTCAACACCGAGGATGTGCTGAATGCATGCTTCACAGAGGAGCTGTTCTAGGTGTTTTCTGCACATGGTCTTAACTGGGCTTCTTTCCACTCATGCATCCTGTTCCATATACACACTAAGAAAATAAGAGATGCTTTTTGCCCACTTTGTAATCTGAGGGGATGTGTGTGGTAGCCCATGTGAATGATAGTGGGATACGAGGGAGAGGTGTCCAGCTAGCAGTGCTTATGTGGAGATGCCTGTAATGCATTGTAAGCATGTTCACCCTGAAGAAGTTAGGTTTAGCCAGCCTTTTCAGCCTCTCTCACATACATCAGCAGTGAAGGATGACAGAGCTGTGTAAGGTTTTCCTGGTTCAGACAATAACTTTATTGCCTCTAGAAAGCTTCCAGCAGCATAACAAAGTCCTGCAGTCCTGGCATAGTGAAGTGGAAACTGTCACAAGGAATTATACATCCCTGCTCCGTGCATGGTGCTGGTTTTCTCTTTTCTCAACTTCTCTTGACCCCAGATTTCTAAGAATACCACTTGTTACGATTTTGCAGACTACTCTGGCAGCGAGGAAAACACGGATGTTTCACAGGAGCTTTCTCCTGAAAAATCAGGTGTCACCAAATCTGTTCCTTCCAATAAATCATCTGCCCATACAAGCACAGTGCTGCACTGCTCTGGGTCCGGGCAGCACAGAGGAAGATCAAAAAGAAACGGTAAGCTGACTCTCCCCTCTGGTTTGCTGGTTCTGTCTGTTACTACCAGTAAATGTGTGAGCTGCACTAACGTCCGCAGAAGTCAATACCCATGATGTACATCTGGCTGTTCTTATGCAGGACCGTGTGTTTCCTTTCCCCTGCCCGAACTAGTTGAACCCAGTTCCTTTGCCAGAGCTTGATGTTGCTGCTTTTTGCTTTGACTTCACAGAAACTCTAAGACTGTTGCCCTTATTTCAGACTCAGACTCATTTTGCACCTTTTTGCAGCCCTGTATTTACTCTATCATAGCTGTGGTCGAAGTTTAGTAATTAAACTTTTAGTATTTCAAAGGTTTCAATGAAGTAATAATTCAGAGTTAAAAACAGAGGTTATGCAAGCTTTATGCAGTATGTGTGCTGTGTTTGAGACACCACTGGATGTGGTTACATGTAGTTGTGTACACTATGATATATGGTTACAATGACTTCCTGAGCTTCATGATGATGATAAGCTCTTTATTAGTATCTTCATAGTACTTCATAAACAGAGCTCATAAAAACGTGGCTGCTGTGTTCCAGCTTTCAGAGTTTTCAGTAGTTACTGTCACAAGCTGGTACAATAAAAAAAGGCAAACAAACATTTTGTTCTTTCTGTTATTAAAGCTCACAAATTTGAAGGAAATGGGAAGTATATGACAGCTTGATTATGTGCAGGAGCCTTAAGTTCCTCACTGATTCCTTGTTGTAGACGTGCACTGTTGGTGACCATTTGATTATGCTTTGACACAGTTGTTTTATTGTTTGGAATTAGGCAAAGTGTAAAAATTTAACTTCAGTTAATTCCATCACACAGGGAACAGAGGAAACATTTAAAACTACTGAAGCGCAGATGGCGATAATGTCTTAAAACATGTTCTGCAAGTCTGATGAGTTCTGGTTATGGAATATATTGACCATAGTGTGTATTGCAGTTTAGTAACTTGGCCATCAGTTGCTCAGAATTCTTTTGATCAGTTCGTAGACATTGAAAGAGGTGAGAAGTATTGGAAATGGTTTTATTTCATCCTGTTTGCAATTCTCTTAACTGCTTTTTGCATCTGCAGAGCTCGTATTAATAAGAACAGCAGGGCCCAGATAAACAAGATCTGGTGTAAGCAATAGTATAGCTTGTGTAGTAGAATGGAAGCGCTGTTGCTTCCAGAATACTTGAGGAGTGTCCTATCTCAGAGATGGAATAAAGCTTTAAACCTGGAAATGAACTAATACAGTGGGTTCTCAGGCCCTTAAATTTGAGAAGAGACGTCTTCGCACATGACTGAGTTTGTACCTGCAGTGCTGTTCTGGGGCCTAAGTGATCAAAATAGTTCTTACCCAACATAGGTGAGAGACCACAGTCTGTTTCAGAGCGACTAAATTTACTCTATTCCACCTCATTAGAGTATTTTGCACATAATTAAAATCCTTGCCTTCTCCCTCTGACCCTCCCATCCTACCCCCAAGGAATACATTGCATTAGTATTGAGGTGAGCATCTCAATTTAGCATGCTGTTCGGGACAAGATTTTCCTGGCAGTTTTATTCAATCCACTTAAAGCATTAAGTGCTATGGGAGCATTCTTAAAGAATACCTGCACTGCCCCTGAACTGATAAGTGTGTCTTCAACAGGAGGCTAATGAACATAATCATTTCTGAAGCAGGATTAAATTCTGTGTTGGACTCTGAACGTTTCTCGAATGGAGTCATTACTTTGTGAGTCAGAATGGTTCATAGCACAGAACCCTCTTATCTCTTTCTGGGAGCTCTAGTCTTAGAGTACCAAGCCACAGTTCTATACAGATTGCAGGAACTACTATGAATCCTGTTCTAATTTATATAATGGGGTTTTATTACACTTACTTGTCTTAAGAGACTTTTTGTCTTTGGTTTGAGGCACTGTGTCGAGAGTACAGTGTTAATGACTGAAGCTGTTAAGTTGGAATATTTTGAAGGAACTATTAAGAATATAAAACTTCATTATACATAGTAGTAACTTTAGCATTAAAGTTCATCATATGATGTAGTAACATTGCAGTGTTCCTTAAATCAGATGGGGAACTTGTGCTTTTAGAAATGTCTGTCTGCGTACTCGGGGTGAAATCGTGAGACTTGCTTGGGGGTTTTGTCATTACTTGGGATTTTACCTAACTTCTTTTTTTGGTACAGAGGATGACACCCTGAGTGAGTCATCTCTGGAGAGCTTGCTGTGGAGCGACGATGACTGCAGTCAGGACGTTGATGTCACCACGAATCCTGATGAAGAAGTTGAAGAAAGCGATTCTGAGATTGTTCGCTGTGTTTGTGAAGTAAAAGAAGAAAATGACTTCATGATTCAGGTATGACGTGGAGGGTGAATTCCCATTTTGGTGAATGCAGTAGAAGATGTCAGGAAACACGCGTAGGTACAGTCTGTACATGAAATAAACTGCCTCTGTCCTCTGAAATAGGAATTTTTTGTCTAAGGTAACCTGTCAGCTTGAGCAGCTGCAATGATAAGTAGAGACCTTTGCTTTTTAATACAGTGTGGGTTTTTAATTGAAGGAAAGTAAGGGGAAAGGGCCAATTCTATACAAGTCATTGACAGTTGGCTACTCGCTTCTGGATTTGCATTTTGCTACACATGCAGGGTGAAAGATACCTTGTGCATTAGTAGGAAAGGGTGCAGTGATGGGCAGTGGCTGAATAACATCAGAGTGCAGAGGAGGAACAGGAGCCTGACAGTTGGGGATAAAGGAGGTGGCTGCCCTCAGGGGAGATGGATCAATGTAAAACACAGATACAGGCTGTAGTATAATTTTCTGGCAGAAGTAGGCTCAGCACTAGTTTGTGACTGCAGAATGCAGAGAGCTGTCAGCTAGCTGAGGACATAGTCTATGGATAGCTTTCACATAAGGTTTCGTGGGCTGCTTCTGAGATGGGTTTTCTGGGTTGATCTAGTTTGGGGATTGGGGTTTTTTTTGAGTGTATTGCAAAGTTTTAAAGGCTTTGGCTGTGTTATAAAAGAATTGCCTAGGAGAGCAGGTTATTCTCTCTGGCAAAGAGATGCAGCTCAGCAGCATGGTAAGTACCTGCATTCATTATGGGGACTGAAGCAATAGGAAGTGGGGATCAAGGAGCTGGTAACAATATCTAGGGGCAGAGGGGGGTGTAGGATGGGCATATAGTTTGCTTAAGGTGCCATATGCTGTGCTCCCCCCACACCTTCCTGTCAGGCTGTGGTTTTGGGGGGAAATGTGTTGAACAATCTCTTCTGTTGTTGGTGTAGAAATGCCTGAGTTAACTAGTTGAGTATAGAGCTTTAATGCAAAGATAACATGGAATTATGATGAGGGGAGCCTATTTTCAGCTTTCCAAAGGTGTAGTGCTGAGATTGACACTTCCCTTTTGACTATAGCATGAGAATCCTGTGTAGTTATCATAACTTTGTAAGATTTCTCCCCTGTTTCCTACTCAGACTTTAATTTGACACTTGGAAACTCAAATTTGGAAGCGTCTTCACTAAAGAACTTGCTTTTAGACTTGTCCTCTCTTCCTAAAGATAGTAATTTTGCTCAATGTGTGGGCTTGTTAGAGAATTCCGGGGCTGGATTTGGCATCCTCGGAGGTGATGGATGTGAATAAACTTGGGGTATTTTTGTTCTGGAGGGTGAAAAGGTGTTTAAATAAATGCCCATTGAGTTTGGTTATTTCCTTTTTACGTCAATTTAGATGTTACTGCACAACTCTGCATGGTTTTCCTCTTCAAATTTTATATTGGCTTTGCTTTGAATCTCCCTATTACTGCTTGGGCAGGGGGCAGCACCTATGTAGCGTGCGTCCAGAGCAGTTGCCTGGCCAGCCAGGCTGTGAAGTGGGACATGCAGATAAAAGGAAGGACCCGTGCCCTGATGGGATGGATATTTAAATAGCAGTTGAGTAAAATAAAAACAGTTGGGGTGCTTCATTAGAGTTCTGGGCAAATTTGCCTGGAAAATCCCAAAGTGTAGCTCTGCCATATGGCAGGAAGATAGGATGCAAGTGTGTCTCAAGTGTTCAGGAGCTCCCTTCTTATCTTTAGCATATTTTTCTTACTGTTTCCTTTGTTTAAGGACACCTTTTTCTGGCTCCTACTGATCACTTTGTGAAAGGTGGATGGTCTCTCAGCCTGTTTTTAGAGCAACTTAACTGCTTTAGGACTGTTTACCCATTTTGTAAGGCAAAACATTGTTAGTCCCATCTTACAGAAATCTTCTCTCTGACCTTACACATCCTCTGTTCCCAGCACTTCTGTTTCCTCCACACGTAGACCACTAATTTAATACAGTGATGTGTTCAAAAACTGGTGGTCCCTTTCTGTCCCTCCTAGCTTGAGGCAAGACTGCAGATAAAAGCAGCAGTACTGAAAGTGCCGTAAGTAGTGTTCAACACAGATGTTGACTAAGTTGGCATCTCTGTAGGTCAGTGAAGAGCAGCATCTGGGATTGCTGCAGTTGCTCTTTGGTTTAGCTCATTTTGAAGACTTTGCCAATATTGACAAGATTTTTGCAGTAAGCTTTTGGCTTATGCTTCAAGAAGCAAAGGTTGTGCTCTGTTGTCTCAACTGCTTATGAAAATAGTAATTCTGAATGACACCACAGTTTAAATCAGAATTGGCTTGGATGTTCTTCAGTGGAGATTCACGCCATGTTTCAGCAGTCTTTAGGCTACAGCTGAAGTTTTGCCTCCTTGTGAAAGGGGAGAAAGTGACTGAAACAGAACATGTGGATAGTTTTTCCTGCTTAAAACCAGTACGGCTTTAAGTACAATGATTGCATCTTTAAATAGCAGAACTGTGCTATTTAAGTTATGTTCAGTCCTGGCAAGTATGATTGCCCACACTTGGTAGGATGTCAGAAATTTTAAAGCTAGTGCAAGTGCTTCTGCATTTTGGTTTGATGTTAGATGTACCTTTGAAATAGGTAAGATGTTAGAGATACAAATGTCGGTAAAGGGTAATACTGGCTAATCTGGTGTGACATAAATATCCCTTCAGTTTTATAATGGAATGTGATCTACTGTTTGAAGGGGAAACCTTTTCATTCAGAATACTTGATATATTTTCTTAAGCAAGCTTGATTGCATACTGTTTTCTGTCCTGATTATGTGTGAAAGATTTTCATCTCCAAAGGGAACATTTTTTCAGCATCTCTCCTTCTACTTGGTAATTGTTGTCATTCTCCAGGAATTCATGTGAAAATCTGTGGGAAGGGTTTGAATTTTACTGTAGTCTGATTCTTTAATGTATTTGCTTGTAGCTGGAAAAGGGGGTGGGTATTAATATACCTTTTTGTCTTAAAATGTGGGGGTGATGTGTCTTTTACTTGAGGTAATCTTGCTGAGCACCTGTAGGCTTCATTTCTGTTGATGTGCACTTCTTGACTTTAAACAGTGTGAAGAGTGTCTGTGCTGGCAGCATGGAGTCTGTATGGGTTTACTGGAAGATAATATACCTGAGAAATATACCTGCTATATTTGCCAAGATCCTCCAGGTACAGACATTTCAGGTTACAGAGCTTTCTTTTATGTGCAGTAACTTTATCTACATATTGCAAAGATTAAACTTCTTGCTCCCCTAGCTGTGCCTGTCATTCCAGGTAATAGAAGTTGAGTGATAGACACAGAAAGTTTAATTTATGTGACTCTGCATGAGTCAATATTGTGGAATTGCAGCTGCACAGGAATAGAAGTGAACGTTTTAAGTGTGGTGACCATCTGTCATGTGTATACCACTAATAAGGATTGTACTGTCTGGCTATGGAAAATGAATTTAGAAGCACTCAGGAAACTTAAGCAAAAACTCCCCGTCGGCACATCTTATGGGGTGTGAATGCAGCTTTCCTCCAGCAAGACCAGGCTTAGGAGTTCTTTAAGTTAGCAAGAGGCTCCCAGGCTCTCAGCAGCAGTGGCTCTTACCTGTCTGACTGCATTACTTGTAATGGTAATGGGTAATGCAGTCAGAGTTGATTAAGCAGCACATTCTCTACCCTTAATTATGGATTTTAAAATGTCTTAGTCCATCTAACACAAAATTACAGTTGTGGGCATCTTTTCTGGCTTCCTACTCAATGAATTATAAAGCTTTGCTGAATATGGAAACAGATGAGGTCCGGGCTTCAGTCCATGTTCATTAATGATGAGAAAATGGGATCTCTGTGCCTAATCACAAGGCATTTTAAGACAATTTCCGTTCATGTACATATTTGCATTGTCATCTCTGCTTTGTTTTTTTTGGGGGGGTTTAAAACTACTAACTCTTCTCTAGCTTAACTTACTGATTTGTGTAGCTTGTATTTTAATAGCAAGGAATACATGCTATGCTTACATGTTTGTGTGTTTGCAGCTTAGCATGCATCTCAACTCCACTGTTTCTAATAATATCATTTTGTTTGGCTTTTTAAGTTATTTATACTGATGCACTTACCACATTTAACATAATTTCAGCTGTTGTTGATATTCCAAACTTTTAAGCTAGAATTTGCATTATTAATAGCCCAGTTTAGGCAAGTTCTCCATCAGAACCTCATCATTGATTCCTTTAAAATTTACTTGTAAATGGCTGTGCTAATGCATGTATGATGCTTAAAAACAAGGCCAGTGGGGAAGGGATGTTCACTGCCTTTTGCTGCATTTTCTGTCTGTAGAGAGCTCTATTTAATCTGTAGCCTTAGTTATAACCATGGTTACTAGACACTGATAACCTGCTAAAAATACACTTTTTTCCTGTGCATCAGCTGCAGTTACCTGTTGTGGTTGTCCTGATGGAATTTGGGATCTGAATGCTCTTACAGTTGGGCAGAGATTTTTGACTGAGGTTATCTCACTTCCCACTTTACAAGTTTTTCATGTCTTCAGGGTTTTGTCTGCTATTACAGGGTCTTTATTGGTACTATTGGTAAGAACAAATAAGCTGTTGGAAGACTTGGAGATAATCAGAATTGCTGCTATTAATGTTAACATACCATAATGAATGCTTCATTTTGACACACTCATTACTGTTGCTTTAGGTCAGAGGTCCAGCTTAAAGTACTGGTATGAGAAGGAGTGGTTAAGTAATGGTCACATGCATGGCTTAGCGTTTTTGGAAGAAAACTATTCCCACCAGAATGCCAAGAAGATTGTAGCCACTCACCAGCTTCTTGGCGATGTACAGAGAGTGATAGAAGTACTGCATGGACTGCAGCTGAAGATGAGCATATTACAGTAAGCAGTGTTTAAGTATCAGTTGGCATGTTCTCGATGTGAATCAGATTTCAAATAGTAGAAAAATAACTGGAAATTTGGACTTTTGTGCTTCTTTGTGGATATATAACAACATAGTTCGGCTTGTTAACATGACCTGGGAAAAGGACTTGTCTGCTTAAAAACTATGTAAATGTGTTGAAGGGTGTAAATTGACTTGTATATAGAAGGGTTGGGAAAGTATGAAGGGAAGAGGGAGAAAACTAGTAGCAGCAGCTTCTCCTAAAGCACCTAAATAGATGTAAGTAACAAGAATGATGGGTGTATAACCTATGACAGCATTATTGTAATGCTTGCCTTCTCCATTCCAGTAATTCTAAATCAGAGCTTTTCCTGCAGAAAGCAAATCTTTTTGTTCAGCATAATGTTTTAATGGAAGAGCAGTTGCACCTTCAGCCACGTGTAGCAGTTCATTCCTATGCAAAGATTACTACAAATATAGATGGAAAAAATAACGTATTCTGCAAGGATTGTAGAAATTGAGTTTTCTGCATCTTTTCCTGTTTAAACTCACCGTGGGGTTCTGACAACTGTAAACATTTCTAACACAAATCCAGCAGTTTTAAACTGATTGAATTCCGTATTTGTAATATGCTAGTTGATAAATTACACAGCAGGAGGTGTTTGGAAAGCAAAGCTTTTAGTGCTTCCAATGTACTTAAGCACTTTTCCCCTTCCATTTAACCTGCGGTGATGCAGTAGGGTCACTGGCAGTACTTGAAACACTTCTCTTTCCTCTGTGGAAAGGATAGTTTGTGTCATCACTTTGACGTTTAAATTCGGGGGGTTTACTTCCTTTATGTTTGAACAGAAATAAAGAGCATCCTGACCTGAAGCTTTGGTGTCATCCGTGGAAGCACATCACGGTGGATGAGAAGATTCATACAAAACACATCATTCACATTGAGGAAAACTGCTGCAAAGAGGAGACAGCAAGTTATAGAACTTGGAATGGGACAGTTGAGAAACCCTCAACCATTCCTTCTGTGGAGGAATCGTACATTACAAGTGAACACTGTTACCAGAAGCCTCGAGCCTATTACCCTGCGATAGAGCAGAGGCTGGTTGTGGAAACAAGAGGTTCAGCCATGGATGATGGAGTAAATAGAATACGGGAAAACGGGGACGATGCCCTGTCAGAGAGGTTTGGCTGGAATCTGGACCGAGAAATATGCAAGATGGAGAATGAATCCAAACACAATTACTCTAAGGTATCTGTATTAAAGTAACCGTCTCTGTGTTAAAGATGTGTTTGCCTGGCAAAGTGAAGACCTCAACACTTCTTAGCAGTATTTAGTTTATTTATTTGTGTTTAACTCTTTTCTATGCTGTTAAATGTAAGTTGCCAATACAAATTAAAATGAAAGCCTCTGGGAAATACCAGCCTCCCTTCTTTAGATGAAAAGGTTGTTTGGCTTTTATTTCATGCATGTGTAAGGTGAAACGTCTGGGGTTTTTTCACTTCTCTATCAAATCAGTTGGGATTGCAGTGTGTTTCCCAGAAAGATGTGTATTTCAGTTCTTCAGTCTTCTAGGAGCATTTGTTGTGTTTCAGCAGAATGATGACAAAAGTAGGGGGGTAGAATCAACACTGTGACAGTGTAGTCAAGTTTTATAAGGGGTGGTGATGTTTTTTTTCTAGATGCTTCGCTGAAAGCTGTAGTAGAATTGAGATTATATTCCTTCAGGAAAAATCCCTTCTGACTGCAAAGTCATTTGCTCTTTACTTGATTACTGTCGTGTTACAAATGGCTTCAGTGTTCCCAAGGATGCACAGGTGAAGGGCTGGACTTCGGCAGGGAGCTAGCTACATGGATTTATGTTTTCTCTTGAAAATCAGATACCTGTGAAGTGCAAAGAATAGATCTTGGCAAAATACATGTAAAAATATGTCTGTATTTAGACCCATTTGCCCAAACTGCCTTAACGTTCGTGTATGATCTCTTCTCTGTGTCTCTGTACTCCATTAGCCTAAGATCAGTTGAGCAATTAGCTTGAGTAACTGTAAGGACCCAGACAGGCTGGTTTCCCACTTGTGTTTCACAGTAACAAACATTAATGTGTGTGTTCCTGCTAGGTAAGAGAGTCTGTCTCTAAGAAAGGCTCTCCAGAGGAAGCAATTGAAATGAAATTGCTGGAAAAAGACAAAGAAGGAGTTGTGAACTCGCAGCTGCAGTGGCAGCTGAATCTTTTAGCTCACGTGGAATCTCTGCAAGATGAAGTCATCCACAGGATGGATTTCATTGAGAAGGAGCTAGATGGTAGGTGACACTTTCCTGTTTCAAAAACGAACTTGTGATGAATGACTCATTCAGAACATGTTAACCTGAGTTTTACTTCTGCAGCCCTACAAAAAGGTGAGCGTTGCTTTGTCCGATTACTGCGTTTACTGAGAGCAAACAGCCAGGACTGGTATGGGGGTGGTGGTGTGGATTTCAAAAGAAAGATCAAATTAAAACTGAGCAGAACTGCACAGAAAAAGGTTCTGGTACAGTGTGGCCTGAGTTGACTTCTGGTCAGTTGTATTGCTGGTTCTTGTTTCCAACTGAGAAGCTTTCGATCAGGAATTCATTTTCTTTGTGTGGTAGTCAGTTCTTTTTGTGCCTTTGGATTTCATCCTCATTTTCTGTTACCCAGTTCTTTCTGTCTTTGCCCATTATAGTCTATTGATAGCAAAGTTCTTTCATTAGAATAGTCCTGTCCTTTTAGGATCTTCAGTTGCATCTAATGCTGATCTCAAAGGTAATCTCATGGTATAAGCTTCCTGTACCGCAGTGTCCTTGCGGTGGAACTGATATGCATCAGAGGAGGTTTAGCACCAGATTTCACACTATCTAGTCATGAGTTTTCCTTCCCTGCTTTTTCCTAGGAACATCAGAAACCCCCCTCTGAATTGTTTGTCATGTATCAAACGCTATTTGCAAAGGTTGGCATGAGGAGCTGGGGTTTCTGAAATACCACATGGTAAAACTATTGCCCACTGCTCTTCACAGAAGATGTAATGAATTCCTGCTTTGTGACTTCAGGTGACCTGTTCACTGAGCACTGCAGTAGTGACACTTCTGGTTTTCTTTGCAGTTTTGGAGAGCTGGCTGGATTACACAGGCGAGCTGGAACCACCAGAACCACTGGCTCGACTCCCTCAGCTCAAACGTTGCATAAAGCAGCTTATAACGGACCTAGGCAAAGTGCAACAGATTGCACTCTGCTGCTCAACATGAGACTAGAAGATGTTGGAGACTGTTACTGAGTGCGAAGTTGGAGCATCTGATGTGAACAGCTCTGTATATTTAAATGAAATGAGCATGCTGGTTGCATGAGATGCAGATTGACTTCAGGGATTTGTGAAGAAGCGCTGTTCAAAGAACAGCTAAAAGGTTATTTCGGGTGTATTTGGCCATTGTAACGATACCGAAGAGGTCATGCTGTTGTCTTCAGAGGTTGGGTGTTGGTAAATTACACTTAAATTCTCACTCCTTTACAAGTTGCTCAGTTAAACGGTAGACTTTTTCATCCTTAAATTGACTAAAAATTGTGCCACTGAAGAACAGAGTTCTAAGAGCCAAAAATGTTTAGTTGACAGAGGTTGTAAATAACTTTGCATAGTTTAAGTGACTTGTGTCATGTTTTATTCCTTCTGGTTTATGCATAATAGCACACAGTATTTAATCATTAGGAAATGTTATAACAGTTTTCAGACTTAGTAGGTATGAATGTCCAGCTCTTAACTGTCACGTGTTACATGGAGGTTTGCAGGTAACAGTGGCCTAACCCCCACTTCTATTACGTTAAATAATGTAGCAGAAGGTCACAGGTGGATTGCACTCACTTTCAGAATAAATGATTGTTTTCCATATTTATCCTGTCACTATCACATGACTTGGTACTGGGGAGACACCCCTTAACGTTGTGTGGATGTGCATTCTTGAGCTCTTAACCATGGCCACGCTGTGCCTCCTGAAGCAGTGACACCCTGGTTGTGGCAGTGGGAAATGCCGCCCCGGATAGATGCGCTCGGCATCCCAGACTTCGCAAGGTCTGTGGTGGATGTTGTGTCGTTTTCTAGCCATGTGTTAATAATTGCCATTCCGGTTCTGTTTTGAAATGTCGACTTCTTTTCAGTCCTCTGAACGTGTCCATTGTAAGGACTCTACTCTGAATGTGTGGTTTTGGGAATCAGTTTTATATTGTGTAAATAAAGCCTCGAGATCTATGCATGAGGTACTGGCCTCGCAGGCAGTGAGTGGGTTATTACCTTACACAGTGTATGTTCACCAAGTCCCTTTTTATACCTTAAGTTTGAATTTTCTGGCTTGTGTTCCTTTGTGAGAGCAAGGTGAAAATGCTGCTTCTGGTCCGGTCGCGTTATCCCTATGAAACGGTGGTGTGTTGTAAGTATTGGAAATGTCTTTCAGCTGCAGATCATAGCTCCATAAATACCGGCTGTGACTTTAGTTTCCCTTCCCAAACGTTGCTGAGAAGTTCAGTGTGGAGTGTGGGAAAGCTGTTTCTGCAGAGAGAGGGTGTCCTTAAAGAGCTGGATTTGTTACCTTGATCTTGTGTGTGGTGGTACCACCAAAGGGGAAAGCTCAAACACAGTTGTAATTGAAAGGCCCATAACTGTAGGAATTACTAATTTTGGACATGAATCTGTAATGTTTGTATACAGCAAATAATGTAAGCGTGAAATATCCACTATTATTGTAGGAGATAAGGGTATCTACCCAGTGAATATTTTATTTCCTTTAGAAATCAAAATAATTAGGCTACTCTAGGTAGTAACTGAGGCTTTGGTGCCAAGATTCATTTGAGGGGATAATTTGTGTCGCGGTTTTATAGTCCTAGTTGGTCTATAGTGAATACAACACATATACAGCAGAAAAATAGTTATTTTTCTGTAACACAATTGAAATAAAGCTTACCTGATATTTAAGTATCACTTTGCTCCCCGAAGATGAGCCCAGTGCTTACACCTTGTCTCCTTCCTGTGACTGATACCTGGATTCGTGTGTACTGTGTAGCTCTAGAACAGGCGGCAGTAACAGGACAACCAGGACAGCATCAGAAGGAGCACACCAGACACGGTGAAGGTTTTGGGGTGTTTTCAGGTGAGGTGGGCCAGGAGGGTGTTCCCTGGTTGAAATGAAAGCAAGCACTTCCACCGGGCATCTCGCAGAGCGTAGCTGTGGTGTTAACACATCAGCTGTGCTTAGAGGGCACAAAAGCAGTTCAATCCCTGAGCAGACTTTTCACTCCAGAGCAGAACTTCTCCTTCCCAAGCCATCGCTTTTTGTGTGTCCATTGTAGGCTTTTACTTTGCCAGTTTCTTTTTGCTCAGGGCAGGACCTAAGATTTGGAAGAAGAGGTGGTTCTGATGGGGGTATCAGCTGGCAAATACTGGAGACTTGGTGGGTAGAGCTGGGGGAGCCCTTGTAGCTAAAGACTGAAACTATTTATTTAAACTAGAATAGCTTTCCTCATGTTCAGGAAAGATGCTTTATTGTGCTCTGCCTGGATTCATTTTTGTCCCTGTTCTTGCAAGTTTCCACATTGGTGTTTCTTAGTCTGGACCCACGGTTTGGTCTGGCAGGTCACTTTTTATTTAAATCACTGGTAAGTGAATGCAACGTGGAGCCTTGATGAAATGAGCAAACATTGCACTGTGGATACATGAATATATTTGTCTTTGTTTATGCACTATTAGAACCGAGGGCGCTGTACATAGAACTTTGCTTTGGAGCAATATTTGCGAAACTTGAAAACTTCTGTATCTTGGTGTTTGGAATAAATAAATAGGTTTTTGTTGGTTAAGTCTTAGTGAAGTCTTTCTTTCAATTAATGATGAGCCAATAAAATCGGGTTTGGACTGTTTTTCACATAGCGTTGAAATGTAAATACTGCAGTTCGACAGGAATGGAGATGCTAACTGTTCCTAAAGTATGGGAATGATTGTTTTCCACATCTCAGATATTCTCAGTAGGTAAACTCTGTTGGTGTATGTTGGATATTGTTTTAAGTGAAGAGCTTGTACACTTTATTCCCAAATCCTAATACATGTAATACGTTACCCTGGGTGTGTAAAACCTGACCTGATTTGTGTGCCTGTTTCAGTGAGCAGCCTGAGGGCTGCACTGAGCACTCAGTGTCAGTGAGAGCAGCAGCTCTCGTAGCTGAGCTCAGTCAGAGAGGACTCAACAACAACCAAGTGTTGCAGGTAGGAGCCAGAACAGCGCAGCTCTCACACCTGGAACTGGGGGTGTGCGAGTCTGGTACCAGGGCTCAAGTGTGAAGCCAGGACACTCATTCCAAGAGTATGGGAGGCCTAAAGGTGCAGTTCCTGGGACCTAGTGAATCAGGATGAGTGCTGTCAGGTGAACATTGCAAACTGAGCCGTGAAGGCTGGCACTTCATTTGTTTCTGAAATGACAGATAAACATCATTTCTGTTCACCTTTCAGGTGGAAAGGTGTTTCCATAGGGAGATGTGAATGCCTTCAGCAGTCCCTTTGATCCCAGCAAATGCTTGGTAGCTGATCTTGTGGAAGGGATGCTCAAACAGCTTGGTGTGAGGTGGCAGAGCACAGCTGTGTATGGCAGGGTTGCACACCTGCATGAAATACTTGTCGCTGCAGAGGAAGCTGGGGATAAAGCTCTCCAGTGCTGGGCACAGCCTCAAATCCTGCTTCGACTTCAGGCTTTGTGCTGATGATGGTAATGGGCTGCAGTGTTCAAGGGTGGGTGGCTGGAGTGGGGATGGTGCCACGTGGGGCTGGGCACCCCCAGCAGCACCCTCCAGTCTGAGGCAGAACCATTGATGCAGAAGCACCAAGGATGCTTCTACACCGCTGTGGATGGATCCAGGCTGGAGGAGGAGGAAGGAGGCCCAAGAGCTGATCTTTTACACAATGGGGTGGATAAGGGCAAAAATGAAGGGAAAGCCCTGCGACAGCAGCGGCTCAAGTGGCTGTGGAACCAGGTCAGGGCTGAGGGACAAACCCAACCTGTACCCTGTGCAGCTGAGACACCGGCGCTGAGCCCGACGGCTGCACAGGTGGGTGAGGCTCCGGGCTGCTGCGTGCAGGGAAACGAGACAAGCGAGGGTGGGCCTGGAGGAGCCCGTGTGTCAGACATGAAAATGAGGAGAGCCGAGCATGTCGGGGCAGGAAACCTGCAGAGGAGGGGGGTCCTGAGGCACCAGTGCAGGGAAAGGAAGGAGGGGATGGCATGAACAGCAACAGTGGGCGCTTCCCCAGGCCGTGCTGTGAGGGATGCAAAGGCTGAGGCTTGGTGGTGCTCTGAGCCTGCTGGTTTAGGTCCCCTCTAGCCCGGTGGTGCCGCACACAAGGATTTGCACTGTGCCTGTTCGGGTCACCTCGTCCTGCACGGACCCGTTTCCCGTTGCTCCTAGAACAGCACTTGTGTCGATAAACGTTTCCAGGCTCTAGGGCTCATTTGTCCTCGGTGACCTGAGCGGTGGCTCCCCCCGTGTGGGGAGCTGGCAGCAGAAGCAAAACCCCCCCCAGGGCATGGAGGGTGAAACCAGCCCCGTGGCTGCAGCTGCAGTTCACGATTTACTCACACCCCCTCCGTGTGAACGAGATGCCCTTTAATGAAGATGTGATAAATGGGGGTTGCTGCGTTTCCAGCAGGATCCTGGTTCATGGCCCTTGAGCCCAGTGCAATCCCCGCGGTACCAGGGTCAGAGCTCAGCTGCTGCTGTGGCCGGTCCCATAGGCACAGGGGTGAGTTTAGGGCTGGGGGAGAGCAGGAGGGTTCCCTCACAGGCCCTGTCCTGCAGCCACCTCACCCCACATCAGTTTGTGCGTGACCTCGAGGGGTCCGTTCCCACCCCGGGCCAGGCTTTGGGCCATTTGCATCCCATTTCCCTGCTGCTGTGGGAGTGCGGACGTGGCCTCTGTGAAGCGGCTCCTCTTGTGTCCGGCCTCCGCTTCACCCAGCGCCATGGGGGGAGAGACTGGGGCTGCTCAGACTTCACGTCCCAAAGCGCCCGGCTGTGGGGAGCGCGGGCCTTTGGGCAGCCCCTTCCTCCGGCATCGGTACCGGTCGGTCCCCACCTTGGCCTCAGCTCTCCCCTGCCGCGGCTCCCGTCTCCCGCAGCACCGACGAGCAGCCATGGCCGAAGCCATGGGGCTGTGGCCGGGCGGGCCCTGCCCTCAGCAGCCCTTGGGCCCCTTCCCCTCAGCGCCCTCCTCGGGGATGGCCGCCCCCGCCAGCAGCAGGTAGGAGCTGAGGGATTCGCGCAGGCCCAGGCTCACGGGGGAGTCCTCGGGGGGGCCCGCGGTGTCCAACAGGAGGGAGCTGTGGGAGCGCGGTCACTGGGCAGCCCACAGAGCCCGGGTGCTGTCGGGGCGCGGGGCAGCCCCCCCCTCCCCGTCCCTACCTGTCCATCTTGTCCCAGATGAGCGATGGCTTCCTCACGGCAGCGGGCGCGGCGGCAGCAGGAGCCACCCGCGGCCCGGCAGTGGAGCAGGGCTCGCCGAGGGCGCAGCACAGCCCCTCCCCGACCTCTGCAGGGAGCCGCTGCTGTCACAGGGTCACCCCCTCCCATCTGCCCCCCAGTGCAAGTGGGGCACCGGCCGCCCTCCCTCCCTCCCTGCGGGGCACGCACGGAGCCGGGCGGCGGGGCCGTACCGGAGTAGTGCTCCACGAGGCCGTGCAGGCTGGGGAAGGTGAGGCGGGGCGCGATGTAGAGCCAGCCGTTGTCCAGGCGGTGGATGCGGTAATGGGTCACGGCGGCCCAGCAGCCCCGCTCGCAGCGCCGCACCGACAGCGAGAAGCAGCCTGCGGGGCCGGGGCACGAGGCTGGGATGAGGCAGGGACCCCCTGCACTGGGGGTCATTGCCCCCCGAGGGGGGGGGGGGCAGCAGCACCCCATGGGTGTGAGCACCCCTGTGCCAGCCCCATGCCATGAGCACCTCCGCGATGGGCTGCGGGAGTGCCAGGACATGGATGACCGCACACCCTCAGCATCAGGTGCTAGAGTTCCACGGCCAGGGTCTTCGCCGCTGGCTGTCCCCAGCCCCATGGCCCCCGCTGTGAGGCCTCGGCCTCGTGCCACCCATTGGGATCTCCTGTGGGGTTCCCTCAGCACCCCATTGCGATGGGGCCCTGTGTCACTGCAGGGGCTGAGCCTTTCCACCCCTCAGCTCAGCAGAGGCCGCAGGAAGCCTCCCGGTGGTTTTGGGTTCTGAGGCTCCACGGCAGAGGCTCAGCACAAAGCAGGGAGCAGCAGCACCGGGAAACTGCAGCCCGGGAGTGAGCGATGGGATGGAGGGGGATCGGCCCCAGGGGGGACGGCAGGGAGCGGGGACAGGGCCCGGGGCCGCGGGTCTCACCTCGCCTGGTCTGGCTCTCCCGTATGAGGAAGGACCCGCTGCGGTTGCCCGGCCGGAGCAGCAGCTCCTCCGCCTTCTGCCTGCTGATGCCCTCGTACAGCCACCTGCAGGGCAGCGGCGCTGGCACAGCCTCTCCCGGCGCCCCAGGCCCGGAGGGGACAGCTCGGGGCACAGCAGAGCGGGTCCTGGGGACACCCCCCGAGCCCCAGCGCTGCCCCGTGTCACAGGGACAGAAACGGGGGCAGCGGCCGGGGTTTGGGCTCAGGGCTGTGGCCGGGCTCTCTGCAATGGGGCCACGACCCTTAGCGCCCACCCTTACCTGTGCCTGATCCTGGCCACGCAGCTGCTGGGGATGTGGCATTCCTTACCGGACACCTCCGATGCCACCAGCCACCAGTCCCCATCCCTGCAGGGAAGGGGTTGAGCCATCCTGAGGGGCTGAGGCTGCGGGGAGGGGACCCCAGCGCGGTGCCACCGCCAGGGCCCGGTGCCTGGCTGGGAGCACTCACTGGGATCAGGGACTTACTCGGAGAGGACGCGGAGCTGCTCCCCCATCCTCAGGATGGCCCCGGGGCCGGAGGGGAAGTCGCAGAGAGCCAGGGCCTGGACGCCATCGGGGGCTGTGGGGACGGTGACGGGGCTCAGAGCTCCGCCGGTGGCACCAGGTCCCCGCAGAGGGGGGAGGAAGGGGCACACGGGGGTGCCGCAGCTGCGGGCACTCACCTGCCTGTGCGGGCAGCGGGGGCTGCGCGGTGTCGGGGGCCGCTGCGGTGATGCCGAGCGGCCTCTCCCGGCTGGGCCCGCTCCCCATCCCGTGGCTCAGCCCCCGGCCCTCGGCTGCTGCCGGCTGGGGGGGAAAGAGAGGCCCCAGGCTGGACCGCGGTGCGGCCGTGTAGGGATGCTCATGGGCTGCAGGCACCAACCCCGTGCCCCAGGGCACGGCTTTGGGCTGGGCTGAGCCTGGTGGGCAGCCCCATCAAGTGCTATGAGGACTGGTGGGGACAGCAGGAGCCTGCCCAGGATGGGGCATCTACATCCCCATCCCTGACCATGCCCACCCTCTATGTGCTGTCACCACTCTTGCCCGGTGTCTGCAGGGTGTGAGGCTCCCTGTACCAGCTCCCATGGGAGCTCAGGGGCTATGGGGAACACAGCTCTGCCACCCTTGGTTCCCTGGCCATGGAGAGGGGCAGCCGAAGTTCTGTGTGACCCAAACCCTCCACTGACTGAGACCACAGACCTGCTGCTGGCCTCAGTTGGGGTGAGCCCCACTTACCTGGCTCTCGCTGTCACCATTCTGCAGGAGCTGTCAGGGCTGGGCTCAGCTCTCTCTGCGTGGTGGGTCCTCAGGCTCCCCGGTTGCAATCGCAGGGTCCCTCTTGCACAGTGGATCCCCCTTGTGCAGGGCAGCCCCTGCCCTTGCGGGATCCCCTTGTTCTGCCCTGGTCCCTCTGCTCTAGGGCTGGGTGCTCCCAGCAGTGCTGCGGTGTGAGGGGTGCAAGGAGCTGGAGCAGAGGCTGCGGCTGCTGCTGCTTCCTGTTACGTGCACACACACACAGAGAGCGGGGCTTTCTCTTCTTCACTCACACTGCTCAGCTGCCGGTGCCCCTTGGGGACTGCGGCACACGGAAAGCTCCCTGAGGGCACTCAAGGCACCGAGGTCACTGCATGGGCTCTGGGGTGGGTAAAAGGGAGGGATGGGCGGCACGTGAGAGCAGGAGCAGACTCTAGGACTCAGAGGCTGAGGCTGGACAAGGGTCTGAAGGTGCCTCCTGGACACAGCAGCGGTTGCTCTCACAACCAAGTTCCTCCTTGCAGCATCATCTGACACCAAGGAGTTTGACTCCATCACGTTGCACCAAGGAGCACGACTCCATCACCTTGCACCAAGGAGCACGTCCAGGTATGGTTGTGCAGCGTGTCCCAGGGCAGGAGCTGGGGGCAGTGGTGTGAAGCTGCCTCCTTGCAAGGCCTGTGGCTTTCCTGGTAACAAACTGCTCCCTCCAGCATAAGAGGTGCCGCAGCCGGAGGCAGAAACCTCAGCCCATGGCTGCAAGAGGTGATTTTCCATCAGTGACCCCAGAGAAACCTGCAGCAGAGCCGAGCTCAGCGCGATGTGCCCCATGCTGCTGGAGAGAGGGATGCACGCTGCTGCTGATGCAAAGGCTCTTGGGGTGTTGGAGGAGCTCATCCCAAGGATCTGAGCGGTTGGGAATGTGGTCCTAAGAGTATGAGAGAGCTGGAAAGTGCTGAGCACCTCTCTGGGCATCCAAATGCCAGCCAGAAGAGGTCGAGGAAGCCCTCTGTGATCTTACAGGGACCTCAGTGCTGCCCTGAAGTGTGGAAGCCCTAGCACCAATGTGGGCTGGGATCCCACCCCAGGGAAGCCTGGCCTGAGCTCAAGCTCTGCTCCTGGATTTGGCTGGCATTGCTCATGCCACCCAGAGACACATTTTGTCCTTTACTAAATGCATTTGTCAGCTTGTATTTAGCTTTGATTTTTGTAGTTTTAACAGGAAAAGCAGTTACTTATGTGAAAACAAATTTACTTCTCCAGTTATCCTTGGGGTAATAAAACATACAACAAAGCCCATGACAAATCTTGCCTTGCTTATGCCTGTGAACCACCATGGCAACAAAACTCTCTTCTTAATCACCTCCCTTCCAAACTGCCCAAAATCTCATCTATTTACTCTCCTGGCTTCCTTGTCCATGGGCAGCCTGCAGCTCCAAGCTCTCCTGTTCCACATCACAGACAGCACTCATCGAGCTTGCACCAACCCCTGCAGTCATTTAATTTCCTCTACCTCATCTCATTGCCATTTTAATACTGCATTTCCCTTTCATTTGGTCTGCTGCTGTATTGTCATAAGGGAACTCGAGGAAGAATCGTTTCTCAGTGGAGTCAGCTGGCATTAGATCACAGCACTGCACCACCAGCAGCTTCCCTCCTGTGCATGTTGCTTTGCATCCAGCAGCAATGAACTTCATGTGGTATCTGGTGGCCTGGTCCCTCTGGTAGTCTCTTCTTGTATTTCTATTCATTTAATCACTTCATCACTTCACTACTCTCTCATTAACACAACTGCCTCATTTCTCCCCATTCACTTTGCTATTCACAAACCCCCTTTGTCTCACTGCCTGCAATGACCTTCCTGAAGGTCTTCCCCAAACCAAAGCACAAGGCTGCAGCACTGCACCCTATGGGCACAACAGCAAGACCTCGACTAACCCTTGAGCAGCAGCTGGCCCCCGCCAGTCCCTGCTGGCTCTCTGTGACAGCTGTGCTGACAAACCTGAAACCCCAGAGCAAAACCTGGCTCTCCAGAGCAGAAGATGAAGAACCGGTTGCGTTAACGACCGCCTGCAGCGCCCACAGCTGGCTGGGGCACAGGGGGATGATGTGCAAACAGAGCTCGTGGCCCTCAGCCTCCTCGTGTCACAACTGCCCTGGCACAGGGCTGACAGCTTCACTTTGTGTCCTACCTGTGACACCCGCCGCTGCAGAGCTCTCTTCGTCAGGGAAGGCAGCTGCTCGTGTTCCCCTCTGTCTGGAGGCAATCCTTGGCCTGTTTTGCCTCCACTTTGTCGAAGCTGGAAGTTTCTTCTTGCATTTCTGCAGAAGGCAGCTCTCCAGGGCCCACTCCTGCAGGGCCACCTCTCCAAGCGCTGCCTCTTCCATGGGCACGAGTTTGCCTCTCACACCAGCGGCCTCAGGCTGTGCCAGGAGAAACACCACGAGCACACCGGCTAACAATGAAACTCAGGTATAGCTTTATTTAATAACTGGTACAAAGTCCCCCTCAGGCAGAGCCTCCCAGTTCCATTCCCTACCTGAAATGGAGCAGAACGTGAGCGTGACCCTCGGAGGAGCTGGCTCCCAGTGAGTCAGGCCTGCTCAACAGTTAAGAAAGGGTGTTTTGCTCATCTATTGAGCCCTGTAGTAGCCTGACCACTCTTCCCTTTTCTCCCATTAACAGCAAGACCCTGGCACACAGCAGGCATTTGCCTCCCGCTCCTTATGACCCAGCCAGATGTAAAAAGGCAGCAGAATTGTGAATTCCAGCAGGACAGAGGTGCTCCCTGCTCATTCTTCTGACCTGGCTCACGCAAATGTGTGCCTGGTGGTCATTGACATCCACAGGTATTTCCTGAATCTCAGCTAACACCCTGTGCAGACACCCTGCCTGGGCTGGCAGCGGTGGGAAGCAGAGCTGGCAGTGTAGGAGATTCCTGGATCTGGCATGGGGCACTGCTGCCCCTTTCACAACCTACTTGAAGATGCCAGGGCAGAATAGCAGAATAGGTGTTAACTGCATCTGACCCTAGGGGGCCAGCAGAGGTGGTCTGGAGCCAGGGCTGCTGCAATGTAATCCCTTGTACTTGGTTAATAGTGCACCTCGGTTAGTGTAAGTTTACTTGTTAATTGCTTTGCCCTTTCAGGAGGCTCAGGTGAGAAATCAACTCTGCTCCTTCCTAACACACACACAGAGATGAGACCAAGACAGTATTTCTGACCTTTGTTTTCCCCATGGCTGCCTGGCACGCCGAGAGTCCTGGGAACACAAAGACCTCTGATGGGTTCTACACTCCAGGCACAGCTCTGCCAAAGAGGTTCACCTGCTCCAGTGCCTGGAGCTCCACGTCATCATGGTCTTGCTTTCCCATGTCCCACAGATGCCGTATCAACTGCACCACAAGGGTCCTTTAGCAGAAGCACAACTAGAAAGCAATTCTAAACCTCACAAAGCCACAGAAATTATATTTAAATGAACAGGGGAGACAACGGCTGTCATCTGGATTGATACACAGCACAGACAGGAGATGGGACCAGCATGTACAGTAACGGGACTTACTAAGACTGCGGAATGTGAATGAGTTTTAAAGAGGCTCTGATGCCAAAGGCATACAGAAAGGACCAAAGTAATGCCAAGTACAGACTACCAAGGAGGTGGCAGCTCAGATGGGCATGCACAAGTTAGAACAGTTAATGCCATGTTGGTGAAATGCTAGATTCTGAGTGGGTTCAGTGGGGGAGAGTGGAGTTGTCTGAATCCAGAAGAGGGGCTCCTGCCTAACAGGATACTTCCATGGTTTGAGGTGCCTCCTGGAGGTCAATTCCTTCTGGAGTTCCAGCACTGTCTTCACCATGGTTGCTAGCGTGAGACCGGCTGCGGATGCTATCGCCAGAGCCCAGGCTAGAGGAGGAGTGGGTACGGGAGCGTATCAGCCTGGTCATGCTGGCTGCTGGCACTGCAAGAGAGAACAAGCGCGGGACTTAGAAAAGGAGGAAGTTTGTAGAGCAGTGTGACAGTCACTCAGATATGTGCCACTGGGCAAGCACGAAAAGAACTATACCCTCAGGAAGAAAACTCGCTCTTCACTGCCAAAATTAACGTCTAAAGCAACATATTTAAGGCCCAATTTCAAAAGGTCCAAGGTGAGCAAGTGCCTAAAGTGTAACTGATCATTTGCAAGTGCAGTCATGGCGAGTGTCTGTGCAAACCAAGGCAGCTGTTGTACAGATGACCTTTTGAAAGTCAGTCTCGTCACTCTAGGAAACCACAGAGCTGAAGTCATGCAACAATCAACAAAATACAAATGAAAGGTGAAACAGCAGCACACACACTGCACAACGACCAGCCCAGCCCGCAGCAGGACATGCCGAGACACAGCGATGCACCCGAAGAATCATTCAACTCAGTACACAGACTTGGGCCGAGGCGATGCGCAGTTGAAGGTACCTGACTCAGTGCTTAGGTGGCTGAGCTGCACATAAGGGACTGGAAACAACATGAGACAAGGGAAGGGATGAATACAGGAAAGAGCCAATTAGTTGTGGTGTGTGACTAGCAGCTGCAATGCTCCTGGGACCCCCAGCTACCTTCCCTTCCACTCCCAGCTAACACTGCACTGAAAGCTCCCAGTACCTGTGGAGATAGCAGCTAATGAGCGTCTCGGGGAGATGCCAAGTGACTCCAAATCCATCAGGGCCAGATCTCTTCAATGCCTTTAGCTGAAAACTGCCATGCACCTGGTGACCTCCCTGCTGCACACACCACAACTGTTCAACAGAGACATCATTTTCCTATGGTGGGGAAGCTGGGGTGTACTCTGTAACTCCAGATACGGAACAGAAATTCATGTCTTTCCTGACAGCAACAGGTTTCTGCTAAAAGCCTCCTGCAAAGTGTCACCTTCCACCCTCAGTGCCAGCCCAGGCAACTGTTTCAGCCAACGTGCAGAAGACTCAAGAGTAGCTGTTGAGGAACTGACTTGTGCATTTCTAGAAACGGCAAGTTTCCAATTTGCTTCTCTCTCTTGAGAGGGGGGGCTAAGCTCAGCAGTGGCAACACAGTCTTGCCCACCAAAACTGGGAAAAACCATCTTGGGACTAGCTACTAATTCTGGAAGCACAAAATTACCCAGTGCTGCGCATCCTACTTGCAAGAGATCTCAATCCCGAAGCGCTGCTGAAGTCCTTGCTCCACTGACAGCACTTATTGACTTTACTAACACCATGAACACAGGAGCATTGAAATGCTCTCTCAGTGAGGCTGAGGGAGCCTTCCCACATGGCACCCTCCTCTGCAGGACCAGGCCCTCCTGGCCAGCCTTGGAGAATATGATTGTCCTACTACATTCATGTCAGCTACACGCAGCTCTAAGAAAAAGGACAGCTTCTGCTGAGCCCTGACACCCACGAGCTGGCAAAGAACTCCTGGCCATGTGGAGACCATGGGGACTGTCACAGCTGCCTACTGGCCATCCTTAGTGGAAATGAGCCACACAAACCAACCCCTCTCATACCTCCAGCTTTTGAAGGTTCAGCATCTGCAGAAGGGAACTCCTAGACCTGACCCCTGGCAGGCAAGGCAGAGCTGTGCCAAGGGGCCTGCAATGGAGACAGAGGTGCTTTAGTGCACTGAGAAGCCCTTCTCCTGAAGTCTCCAGTGTCTGGAGTACCAAGAGCAGTGGAGCTGAGCTGCTGTCAGTCTGACACACTCGGGAGACAACGTCTTTTGCCACCAAGCACTAGGAGGAAGCCATAGAGCAGGGCATGCAATGAATCAAAGCACAGCTCCCTCTGGGCTCCCGGGTGTCTCAGAAGTCACTCAGCTCTGTTCTGCCACTGGAGGGTTTCACTCTGAGATACCATTTACCCCTTGTGGGAGTCTGAAAGAAATAGGCATGTTTGAGAAGAAAGGGAAGGACTCTCATGTACCTATCACAGCTGTGAGGCTGTGCTGCCAGCTCCTCCCTTCCGGAGAAGGTATGCAGAGATTTCAGGAGATTTATTGTTCTTGGGATCAGGCTTTTCTGGACTGGCACAAAGACAGACTCACAAGGTTTTACCAACAGCAGAAACTAAAAAGAAGTCACCACTCCAGCTGCAGTGTGGATTAAACATGTCAGGGATAACATTAGTTTGCTAAGGCTTGTTGGCACCCTAGTTGATTTTCCACTGTGGATGGATCTCCTGGCAACCACACTAACTGATGGGTGGGAACACAGATGCCAATGGGCTCAGATGGACCAGGAAGGCTGAGTTCCCTTCACAACAGCCCTGCTCCAAACCAGAAAATTGTGTTTGCCACTT